ACAAGTAATTGGGACAAGGATCTTACCATTGTTAATGAAAACATAAATATCCCCAGGAAGAGCATGTCAGCGATTGTCCTCCTATTTACCAGTAGAGTGAGAACTGATTCTGAAGAATATATTTACCCAAATATTGATAAAGTGAACCTGACCATTGAAGGTGTGCCTAATGCAGTTTTCTCCCAAGGACTTCACAAAAATAGGTTCTTCGAAGAAGCAAAAAGATTTTTCTGCCCTATGTGTGAGAAATCCATGGCAGACGAGTTTATGTCCATCAGCAAGTTCTTCACCAATGGTTTCGCTCTAGTAATCGATCTTAGATCAACACAAGATGATACCACTGGTGGAGGTAAGAAGATTGTTAACACACAGTCGGGAGTACTCCTGGAAATCAAAAAGAGAGCCACAACAGCTGACGTTCAGTGCAACATTTTTGTTGTATCAGATGCTCTCCTTAACTTTGCCAACAGAGATCTATCAAGTATTCAATACTAACGGTAAAGCATAGAGATGCAACCATTCAACATGCTCATAGTGGGAATGACTGGAAGTGGCAAAACTCAGTTCCTACTTAATATGTTAGAAACAGAGTACAATAGAGTTTTCGATTACATTATCATTATATGTCCAACCATAGAGTGGAATATGACTTACATTAATTGGACTCATATTAGTGACCACGGAGTTATTCAAATTCCATGCTCACAAGAAATGATCGATCTAGTTCTCAAGGCAGTGTCCACCATATTCCGCGGTACTCAGACTCTCATTATAGTGGACGATTGTGCGGCAAGTCAAGATGTAAAGAAAAGAGTCTCAGAACTGGTGCGCCTAGCTTTCTCTGCAAGACATTACAACTTATCTGTTATTGTAATTACCCAACAATTGTCCTCAGTAGCGAAACCATTCAGGGAGAACATTTCCAGGCTAGTTACATTTTACAACCCTAGTCGCAGGGATATGAAGGTGATAACAGATGATTACCTAAGTGGAGTTCCTCAGGAGACAATTACAGAGATTACGAAGATATTAAAAGATGAGAAGTTCACCGCACTGGACGTACTACTTATTCACCCTTACACATACGCTGTTAAACTAAACACCGCGAAGAATATAGATGATGGGAACTGAATCTGATCAAGAAATATTTGAGGCTGTAAGGGAAGTAGAGGAGGCCGCAAAGGTGCCGCGTAAGAAGGCAAGAAAAACTAAGTCTACCGCAGATAAGTCGCAAACTGAACACAAGAGGGACAAACTTATAGAGCTATCGAGGGATGGCATAATAGAGAAGCCCGCAAGTTTTATAAGAAAGTCCAACAAGGATGTCGTAGATAGAATATACCATGAGTATGAAAGTCAAAGGATGTCATGTGCAAGTGACTTCTTATCAACACTTATTATTTCAAAGTTTGCTGCGGTACTAGGAAGTTTTGGTGCAGTGGAATCATCAGAGAAACTGTCAGAGGAACTACTTAGTGACAAACTTCTGAAGGACGACGTATCATATCTAACCAGAACGATATCCCCCAACATCCCATTCATAGGGCTCATATCTGGTGGCTGTACAACAGCTAAACATGTAGTTGCCCATAAGTGGAATAAGGAGGAAGTGTTCGAGGAAGCTAAACATCTGATATTACATACAGAATGTCAGACTCCGGAGGACCAGTCGAGTGGGGAGGAACAGAATTTGAAGACATAATTGATGAATTGATTGAGAAAACTGATAGGAACAAGGAACAGCTAGATAAAATTCAGGCAACCCTGGATTCACTAGAGAGTGATTATAATGCACTCAAGAATAAAATTATAGGTCCGCTACAATATGAATTCGAAACGTTTAAAAGTGACACAATTAAAACAGTTGTAAAAATATACAAGAATCTAAATGAAAAATAATTTTTTGTAATAGGAAGTATGCAACAGTGGGAAGCAGCTGGGTGGGCTGAGGGAATGCTGCTCCCAGACTAGATCGAAATAAATTAAGATAAATTGATAAATAAAATAGCCTAGAAAATTTTTACATATATAGTATAGGAGAGATGGAGAAATTATTTAGGAATCCAGAGTTGAATGTTAGTGTGAGAACTGTGAGGTGGGGTGAGGGGATACTGTTTTATGCAAAAGATGTGGCGGAATCTCTAGGGTACTCAAATACGAAAAAAGCTATTCAAACCCATGTATGGAAGTCAAACAAGACAACACTTGGAGAACTTGGGGTGGGACCCAACTTGGGTCCCACCCTGGACGGTCAACCAAATTCTGTTTTCCTAAGAGAACCTGGTTTGTACCAACTAATATTCAACTCAAGGCTTCCAATAGCAGAAGACTTTCAGGATTGGGTATTTAGTGAGGTGCTTCCATCTATCCGTAAAACAGGCTCATATGAATTACCAGATAGAAGGTCACTCAGGTATAACCAAATGATCCTCATAAACGAAACGGACCTTCACCACACAGTTGTGAGTTACATTAGGAATAACCACCCTAAGGCTGTAATAGTACCCGGTCTTGGTGAGTACCAGGATACGGTGTCAAAGAGATGTCATGCCTGGAAGAAGGGCTATAAAGGTGGTCAGCCAGATCTCATTATAGAGAATCCTATGGGGGAGTACACAGGATTCGCAATTGAATTTAAGTCTCCTAAGGGCACAGGGATTACAAGTGAGAAGCAAGCATTATGGCTCGAAAGACTGAGGGAAATAGGGTACATGACAATGATATCCGACGACTTGATACAAATTTGTATCAGAATTAACGAGTACTTCTCACTTAAGAAAAAAGTTAAAACAGTAAGAGTGAAAAATGTAGTTAGCGATGTAAAACTGTACAAACAAAAGTTCACATCACACAAGTACTAGTTTACTGTCAAGCAGATTTGAGACATCTTGCAAGTAAATTCAAGTTATCTCACCAGTTATCTCACCAGTAGACTAAAGTTATCTCACCAGTAGATTTGAGACATCTTGCAAGTAAATTCAAGTTATCTCACAAGTAGAATTCAAGATATCTCATAAGACAAAACCAAGTTAAACCTAAGGTATCTTACAAGTAGAATGGAAGATAAACCTGAGCAAATTCAAGTACCAGTAACAAGCGAAAAGAAGAAGGACCCTAAAAGAGTAGCTGCAGGGAAAGGACTAGCTGCAATCAGTAGAATAGCAAAGGAGAGGAAAAAGAAACTGGCCGAACCCAACGAGTCACCTAGTAATGACAGTATGATCACCTACGTGGGAGTGGCCATTGCATTGATATCTCTTGTGCTAGCGTATAAAACACATCAGAGGGAAACTAAGGAACTAGAACCTGAGTTCATCCCTAAAACTGTAGAAGTAACTAAGAAAGCTGATGAGTCCAAGTTAGATTCACTTGAGTGATACATTAAACATGCCATATATTATAGCAAGATGAGTAAAGAATCAAAGATGACTAGGGAAGTGTACGATGCAGTGTTACTTACAGCAGGAGCAGTTGGTATATCAATGGCATCAAAGAAACTATTGAAAGAACCATTAGGTACCCCAGAGAATGTAAAAGGAATGGCGAAGTTAGCTATTTCAGTTAGTCTTTCATCTCTACTGGTCTCTTACCTGAAAGAAAAGAAGTATCTACCAGATGATCCGTTCAAAACCTAGGTAAGACTATACAATGGCGGGAGCAGTAGCAGGAGGACTCTTTAACGCATTTGCATTTGCGGGAGCAGGATACTTGTTTAAGATGTTTGACAAGAATGGATATGCTGAGGAAGCTCATAGACATAACAAAGCAATGGAGAACCTTACAGCCGAAAGAGAGAAGTATCTCGAAGAAGTCACTGATAGGAGAAATAGGATTGCCAAACTGAAGTCAGAACTAGCTGAGGCAAATAGTAATATCAAGTCAACGAACCAGTCATTAGAACTCGTTAGAAGAATCAATGAGTTAACACGTAAGGCTATGCCGAGGAAGCCGCAATTAAGTAATCACTACAAACCTAGCTCTGAGATGGAAGAATATATGACAATCTTTGGTTTAATTACAGGTGGGGTGGTTGGAGGGGCAGCTTATTTAATGCTGTAGAAAATGCCATAAAAATTTTCACATATATAGTATAGGGAAATGGAATTGTTACAGATGGCAACACCTGAGGAGATAGCATATGTAGGTAAGAAGACAAATACACTGAAAGAGTTAGAGGCTGCTGTGAGAAAGTACGCAGAGAGTAGAATAAAGAGAAAACACACATATGATCCAATATGTAGCGAATGTGGGAGTAAGTCTATTGGAATGATAGATGGAGCAGATATATGCACACAGTGTGGTGCTAGTGATATGAATAACTTCACATACTACGTTAGTTACAACTACAATAAGGACGACTACCTGAAAAAGAAGTCTTGTAATAATAGAGTCCGTTGGTTTGAGAGACACTTGTTCGAACATGTTGCTTCTAGGGATAGGGACATCATAAGGGAGCAGTTTAGAAGCATAGTAAGATGTATACAAAGACTTAGACTGCAAAGGGGGCGCAACATAGTTAGATACAAGTTTTACCTACTGAGGATAGCCAGCATGAATGGTATCTCCCTGAAGAACCCTCCTGAGGACATTAAGACTCAAAGGATTGTGGACATCCTTGAGGATAGGTTGTATGGGAAAGTTTTTGTTGAGCTTGGATGGAAACCTGAGAAATGTGAATATTATAGTAACTGGAAAAGTAGAAACACTTAAAGAAATATTGATATAATAAATCAATAGAATTAAACAATAAATAAAAACACTTAAAGAAATATTAATAGAATTAAATAAAAAATAAAAACACTTAAAGAAATATTAATATAATAAATTAATAGAATTAAACAATAAATTAAATCAAAAATAAAAACACTTAAAGAAATATTAATATAACAAATTAATAGAATTAAAGAATAAATTAAATAAAAAATAAATTCGAAATAAATTATTAATTAAATACTCCAATTTATTTTTACATATATAGTATATAGAAACTGTTAGAAAATATGGCGAGTTACTTGAACTTAGACGAATTCAATGTAGAACAACTTTTGGCTCTCAATAGCATCATAGATAGTGATGATGATATGGATACGAGGGTGGAGAACATCATGGTCGACAAAAACTACAGGATTGCACCTGATGATAAGGGCAAAGATCTCTTTGAAGGAGAAAGACAATTCATAGATGAAGTTGACCGTGATATGGAGGTAAAGAAACCCAGACGCCTTCCCCTGAACTGTAAGGGAAGAAGAGGAATTATGCCCACATGGAAATACTCTGACAGGCAAAAGGTAAAGGCCTTACTTGTAGAGGAGGCATACCAAAATCTACTAGCAAGAGGCGTTCAGGGATTACCACCAACGATGGGAGGTAGATGGCGCACGGATGATCCTCAGGTAAATGAGGAAATCAAGAGGATTAAGAACGAGAGGAACCCTAAGATCAAGCGTCCTAGAGGTAGACCACCAAAGGTAAAGTCTGATGCTGAAGTGAAGATTCCTAAGAAGAGAGGTAGACAACCAAAGGCAAAGTCCGATGCTGAAGTGAAGATTCCCAAAAAGAGAGGTAGACCACCAAAGGCAAAGTCTGATGCTAAGGTTAAAAGGCAAACTGTAGCTGAAAGATTCCTGAGCCAGAGGAAGGTAAAACTCTCGGTACCTGCAGATAGTGTCATAACTCCAGCTGGTCCAGGTAAGTTTACAATTCATGTGGATCTTAATAAGAGACCTGTGAGGAAAGCTCCCGAGGTGCCTAAGGGTGTAGCTCCATGGAGGCCTGTACCTAAGCCTAGAACCGTACTTCCTAAGGAAAAACCTGTACCGAAACCTAGAACTAAGCTTCTCAGGGAAAAACCTGTACCTAAACCTAGAACCATCAAAATAGTGTCTCCTCCTAAGTTACGTAAGCCTGTAAAGATGTCGAGGGAAGTTAAGGAGCAGCCTATAGTGGTTACACCAGAGGAACATGAAATCGATCCATTTGGAACAGACCTTGAAAAGCCATTCCACAGGAAAATCGAAACAGCCGCAAATGGAGCCGCCGTGACTTACTCGATAACTCCTCATTATATGGACCCCCTGGACCAGATGACCGCAAGTAGACAGGTAGTGAGAGGAATACTTGTGAACGAGTTGAAGAGAATGGGTGGGTTGAAGTACACGGAGACTATAAAGGTGAGAATGTCAAAGGAAATCGGTGACGGGAAAACGGACTCGGTCTACTTCAAATCTAAAACTGGTACTGCGACTAACTTCGAGGACATTGAAAGTACTGCTGCTCAAAACCAACTGACAATATTGTCTAGAATTGAAACCTTCCAAAACTTAGGTTCAAATTGGATTATACTCAATATTGAGAGTCATTACGTAAACATTGCAATGTACAAACCGTTGAAGGGAAGTTCGTATATAAAACTTCCAGTGGACATTAGTAATCCAAAGTGTGGGCTCATCAATATGAAGAACAATGACAACCTGTGTTTCCTGTGGAGTCATGTAAGACATCTGAGACCTAAGGCTAGAAGAGCAACCACTATCACACGGAAAGATAGGGAATTCATAACGAACCTGGACTACGACGGTATAGACTTCCCTGTGAAGATCAGCGATATCGACAAGATTGAGAGGAAAAACAGTATCAACATATCGGTGTTCGGTTACAGTGGTAAGAAACAGTTCTACCCCATAAGGAACTCTAAGGCTAAACATGATGAGCATATGGAGCTTCTACTCCTGGGTGATAGTGAAGGTAACAACCATTACGTTCTCATAAAGGATGTAAACAGGATGCTCTTCAGTGTAAGTAAACATACAAATAAGAAGCACTTCTGTCTACACTGTCTTCATAGTTGTGTGAGCAAAGAGGTGCTGGAGAATCCGTGCCGTAAATCTTCCCAAGGAAGGGACAAAAATCAAGTTCAAAAATCACAGGAACTCAATGCCTGTGCCGTTTGTGATATACGCTGATTTTGAGTCCATACTAGTACCAGAGGAGAGAAAAGTGGAGTCGGAACACTCTGAGGACAAAAGTAGTACAGACCTTTACCAGACACACAAGGCTTGTAGTTTTGGTTTGAAAACAGTCTGCCACTATGATGATAAGTACTCCGGTGAGTATAAGAGTTATGTTGGAGAGGATGCTGCATTGGTCTTCCTAAAGACTGTATTAAGGGAGTCCTTCAGGTGTAGAGAGATGGTTAACAATATATTCAAGAAAAAGATGGTAATTACACCTGAACAGGAATTCGAATTCCAAGCTGCAAGAAACTGCTCAATATGTGGTAACGATCTTGGTGAGGATAGAGTAAGAGACCATGACCATGCAACCGGCCTGTATCGTGGAGCTGCTCATAATATATGCAACCTGAAGTACAGAATTACATGGAAAGTACCTGTTGTCTTCCACAACCTGAGAGGTTACCATAGTCATCTGATTATGCAGGAAATTGGCAAGTTTAAGATGGACGTTAATGTGATTCCAAATAACATGGAAAAATATATTTCATTCTCACTAGGTAAAAATCTTGTCTTCATAGACTATACAGTTCATGGCTTCTTCACTGGAAGCACTGGTAAGTAACCTTTCACCTGAGGACTTTAAAATAGTAGGTGAGAGGTGGAAAGGTGAGGACTTCAACCTAGTGACACAAAAAGGAGTGTTTCCATATGAGTTCCTCGATGATATTAGCAAACTCGATACAGAAGGTCTTCCGAGTAAGGATAAGTTCTACTCTTCACTCTACGAGTCAGAGGTGAAGGAAGAAGATTACCAGAGAGCTCAGAAAGTATGGGATCACTTCAAGATGAAAACCCTGAGAGACTACCACGATCTCTACCTGGAGACCGACGTTCTTCTGTTAGCTGATGTGTTTGAAAACTTTAGGAGAACATGTCTGGAAAATTACAAACTAGACCCTGCACATTACATGTCAGCACCTAGTATAAGTTGGGACGCTTTTCTAAAACAGTCAGGTGAAGAAATAGAACTTGTAAGTGATATGGATATGTTCCAGTTCTTCGAGAAGGGTATGAGAGGTGGTACAAGTTATATTGCTCATAGACACTCAACAGCTAATAATAAGCACATGGAGACGTACGATGGGTCATCTGAAAGTAAGTACTTAATGTACCTCGATGCTAACAATTTATATGGCTGGGCAATGTCACAATCACTCCCAAATGGAGAGTTCAAGTGGGTTGAGGAATTCGACGGTATAAATCTAGATGATTACCTTGAGGACAGCGAAAGAGGTATGGTTTTAGAGGTTGACCTAGACTATCCAGAGGAACTTCACAATCTACATAACGGTTATCCTTTAGCACCAGAGAGTAAGGAAATTGATTCTTCCATGTTGTCAGATTATGCTAAAAGTATTGCTGAGAAATTCCAGCTGAAAATTGGAGGAGTAAAGAAACTTGTAACTTCACTAGGTCCAAAGAAGAACTACGTCTTGCATGTACGTAATCTAAAACTGTACGCGGACCTTGGAATGAAACTCACGAAGGTCCATAGAGCAGTTACATTTAAACAGTCTCCCTGGCTTAAGAACTATATAGACTTCAATACGAAGAAAAGGTCTGCAGCCCGTAATACATTCGAAAAGAACTTCTTCAAGTTGATGAACAATTCGATTTATGGAAAGACTATGGAAAATCTTAGGAAAAGAGTTGATGTGAAATTAATGTCCTCCAAAGATGACCTCCTAAAACTGACAGCGTCACCGTGCTTCCAGTCACATCGAATCATGAATGAGAACCTTATAGTGGTAAAGCGGATGAAAGAAGTTCTAACGCTAAATAAGCCGTGTTGTGTAGGAATGAGCATCCTAGACTTATCCAAAACTTTAATGTATGATTTTCACTACAACACCATCAAGAAGGAGTACGGTAATAGTTCAAGGTTACTGTTCACTGACACTGACAGTCTAATGTATGAACTGAAGACGGATGATGTTTATGAGGACTTTAAGAGAATTGGTGAAAAGCAAAACTGCTGGGATAATTCAGATTATCCAAAAGATTCTCCGTACTACTCAACTCACAACAAGAAGGTTAAGGTAAGTTTAAGGATGAAGCTGAAGGAGTACCTATAATTGAGTTCGTTGGGTTGAGGTCAAAGATGTACTCCTATGTAAAGGAAAACGGTGGAGGTGGAATGACTGCTAAAGGAGTTAAAAAGTATGTCATCAGAAACAAGCTCACTCATGAGAACTTCAAGAACGTAATTAACACGAAAGGTAGGATGAGACACAACATGAATACAATAAGAAGTGTAAAACATGAAATTGGAACTTACGAATTAAAGAAGGTTACTCTGAGTTGCTTCGATGATAAAAGGTATCTTTTGGAGGATGGAGTTACCAGTTATGCTTACGGTAACAAGAATATAAAAAATAGTAACTGAGAAGTTCCCACAGAGTAGAAAGTAATAATCCTAAAGGGTAAATAAGCAGGAAGGGCCCCCTGCCTTGTGTACCCTCAAGGAGGAAATAAAAGATGTTGAAAAGGCTTTGGAATAGGAAGGTTGGATGATATTGGGAAAGTGTAGTCTCAGCTTTGAGATAAGTTAAATAAAAAACAAGAACAGCAGTTTCACATTCTAATTAAATGTACCAACCATTAATTTTAATATAATAAAAATAAATGATTTTTAATAAAGATAAAAAACTGATGGTCAAGAAAAATTGCTAGTGGTCTAGAAAATTGGAGCTCGGGAAAAAGTGGTCTAGAAACCTCAGTTCCTATACTACTAATGGATTATCTTAGCTTGTTTTCCCTTTTAACTGTCACATTTGTCTGTCAATGCTGTTATAATTTACATGAAAATCAGTCTAAATTATCTAGAAATTTACCTGAAATTACTCATGAACTATTGGTGGGTGTTACACTTTATTACACCCCTCTGGTCGCCACGTCCCTGTTTATATACTTGTCCGAAAGGTAAAAAGCAATTCATTAAGTTGCATTTTGTAGCTCATGCGCATTATCTTATAATGTTTTCCCCCGTATATAAGAGTAAAAGTATTTCCTTCTAGGTTCGACAACTAGAAAGATAATTAAAAACCCAGCAAAATAACGCCAAAGATCTAGAAAGTGAAATTCATGCTCAGGAAAACAAGATAGAAAAGCTTGAAAAGAAATATCAAGGTAGTCAAATTCGCGAATGCACTGATACGAGAAATAAATGTTTTAGGACGAATCCGCAGTTTAGGTGAGATATAAAGTAAAGAATAAAAGTTTGGATCCAACCTTGTTCCTAGGCTCTTGTCTTCGACTTCGTATTTAGTCTTCTAAAGATTCATATGTTGTTTATGGAGCGAAAAGGGAAAGCTAGTCGCGCCAGCCAAATATTCTGCTATTCTGCAATTTATTTATCCTTATTATTTTTTTTCAATCAACCAATCATACAAATCTTTTCGTTGAATTGGCAAATACCCTTCCCCTTTCGGAGATAAGCAATATTTGACAATATTTGGTAGGTACATATATGACAGCACGTTTCTCATAATTGATTCACTCTCCCATAATACCATCTTTTGCATTTCTCTTGCAACTTTCTCCAATACTCCAAAACAACTTTACCAAACTTGTTCTTATTCATGTTAACAATTAACTTCCAATAGAACTTGTCGCGTGCCCCCAACATTTATTGACGAACGGAAATAAAATCCGTAAATACAATGCCCGAGTGATTTGTAATAACAGTAAAGCTATGATCTTTTGCAGATATCATCAATCGCGTTGATGTGTTTTATCCCCAATCATGTTCGAAGTTACGAAGAAGAATACCTTCAACCACCAGTGGAATGTATTTTATTAATCCTCAAGGACTTAACTCTTCGCCATTAGTTCAAGTATACTGTGATATGAGCTCGAAGGATGGTGTTGGTGTGACATTGATTGGGCACAACAGTGAGTCAGCAACATATGTGAGGGGGTATGAATCCGCAGGTTCTTACAGGCGAAGGATTAATTATAAAATCTCTATGGAACAAATTGTTGCCATTATGAAACACTCTGAGAATTGTGAACAGTATATAAAATATCGATGTTTCCATACCATGATATGGTGGGGACACCAGCAACAAGCTTGGTGGGTATCGCGTCAAGGACATCGGATGAATTACTGGGGCGGAGCGGCAATTAACAGTGGAAAATGTGCATGTGGAATGACCAACAGCTGTAATGGTGAAGGAAAATGTAATTGTGACAAGAATGACGAATATTGGCATCAGGACAGTGGATATCTGACTGACAAGAACAGACTGCCTGTTACTAAGCTACGATTCGGAGATACAGGAGATGGTACAAACAGAGAATATGGTTACCATACCTTAGGAAAGTTACAATGCTGGGGTTAAAACAAATATAATTTTTTTTGTGAAATAGCGAATAAACCTCGCATTATCATTCAAGATTATCCTGAGTGTCAGACGAACACGGGATATGTAGCATGGAATGTAATAGCATTTATAATCTCTTAATGCACATTTATATTTAAAATGAGTTTTCAAAAATTTGTCATTCTAATCATCTATAGGTTTTTAAATATACTGGATGGGTGTCTTGGTTAAATTCTAACAATTTTCATATTGTATTTGCTTTGTTTTATGGAATACACCGCGTTTGATTCCAGAGTATTCAATCCGTATAAGCCCAAACATAATTTTTCTATTTCATTTCCACTTCGTAATTTCATAATAATAATAATATGGGTTCGATTGTATTATAATCTTGAACTGTCTATGCCAGTGTAGGTAGTGCCAATAATGACAAAGTTAATTAATTTTTGTTGGTGGGGATGCAATTACTTGAAAAATAACAAGGAGGAATTGTTTGACTTATAGCACTTCTAGAATATCTTTACAAACAAAAGATCTACATAAATTTCCAAACCTACTCCTTTTGAAGCATTCCAAATGGTAGTGTGTTTCTTCCAATCAAGCACTTTTAAACCGTTTTCCTTGCACAAAAAGCCAAGCTGTCAAACGTTGGAAAGCCAACTGCATACTGTATAAGTCACACTACTATGACAGACGGTGACATTGATACAATAATATAGATCTACATTTGGTTTTGTTACTCATTATCGTTACACGGGATGAAACCTAGCCTAATTTTCGATATAATTAAAGCAACTAATTAGATTATTATACTAAAATAGATTATTATGCGAATTGTATTAATCAACAAGATTTGCATAGTTGAACGTGACCCGTATTCATAACCAGAAAATTTGGCCAGGAATATAAAGTTAACCGAAATAGGGTTAATTCTAGGTATGTGGTTAGCCAGTAAAACAAAGTGTTTTTAAAATTGGGTCTTGTGAATAAGTCCAGTCAAATGTGTGAGATAAACTAGATCTTCGCAAGGTTTTTCGTCTTTGCTTCGAACCGAAGGAACGCCGGCTACATATTTTACCGACCCAACCTTGCCGACTGAGAAGCTTGGGAGGCTGTTGTACCACCCCCAAATAAAAGTCGGGGAAGGGGCCCAATTTCTCCAAAGGGAGCCCCCAAATGCTGGAATTGTGAATGTGTTAAATGTTTGGAAATATTGGAAATTATTTAAAAAAAGTTTTGGAAAACATATTTTTAATCCCCTTTTATCCAAGAAAGGTTAAAAAAAATTTTAACCTTTTTATTTTTATATTTAGAAAACTTATATCCCCTCGCGCTCGCCAACATTTTCTGGAAACATTTTTTGTGGGAGAAGGGAATACAAAAAGGGCCCAAACTTTTGAGTTTACCCCCTCTCTCCAAAGACATCGGTGGGCACGTCGCTGGTGTTCGCTTCGTTGATAATCCCTTCAACCAATCAAAGAAAACGTGACAATGCATTCGGTTATTAAATTTCATGTATATCTAGAATTAGACTACCCACCTGTTCTTGTTTACATGCTGTAAATTCGCTGATGTCCATTTCAAAAGCTATTGAAAAAGCAAGTCAATGTGCAGGCTGTAAACAAATTTTCTCTTTAGACACTTGGTCGATTGTTTTCGTTGGAGTTGACTCGGTATTATTTTCTGTCATTTGTAATTGCGAGTGCTCCAGCCACCCAATCTCGTTCACCGAGCCTGCGATCCTCGGGAAGGAACGTGAGGCTCTGGGATAATCCGTTGCCGGAAGCTAGGAATCCTGGCTAAGACTGAACTGCGCATTCCATATCAACGGCCAATCAGATTCCTCCAAGGGGAATTTTGGGCTCTAAAGCATAGTCCAAAACAGATCTGTATTTGCATATTTTATTTGTTTGCTTCATTGGCATGACCGTAAGTACAGGCAGTTGCTAAATATTTACATATATACATATAGGCTATATTAAAAACTATGTGCTGTCAACTGTAGACTATATACTACAACGTGCAATTTACAAGAAAATAAGTGAAAAGAATATAAAAAAACTAAATGCAATAGTGTGGAAATAAACTGAATTAAATTAGTTAATCGTCGATCCTCTGGTTTCAAGGCGTTCATGTCTTTTGGTAAAACAAAAACGCACAAATTTTGATAATAATATCGTTTTATTTCCGTTTGATTTCATTATTTCTACCGATAAATTTTGTTCTGTTTGGAAGAACATTCAGGCTGTTGAGAAAGTTTTCTCTTATGCCGCCGTAGACTTCACATGATGTGAGAAAGTGCAATTTATTTGCTACTTGTACCTTTTGGCGGTCCACAGCGGTATGTGCGGCGTTCAATAAATTATTTTTTTGTTTATACATTGAGTGGCTGTGGAGAAATTTTCAACAAGGGCTTATATTCAACACTGAGGGCAAAACTCGACCCCAATAGTTGCACATTTTGTCATTAAGATTATTAGCAACCTTGGTTAACCGCATGTTAGCTCGTGAACTATGGAGCGAAATGGTAAGTTGCATCTCACTATAAATGGTGTCACAATTCATCTTTGAGATTGAATTTTCGATGTCCACTAACGTAAAAATCTGGAACATAGCTATTGCAATTTTTATATAGAGACACTCACAAATTTACAGAAAACTGCTAAATCTCCCCTTCGCTTATTCGATCTCATCTTATGCAAAATTAGCTATGCAGTGTCATTTCGTGAGTAGTAAATCATTTTTCTGTTTCAGTGGCGTTATAAAGATATTTTAATTTAGGGCGGCTGAAATTTGTAGAAAAGATCATTAAAACTTAGTAGTTCGAGGGCTTGCTCTCTCAGGAAAACTATAAAATCACTTTTGGTCGCAAAATTGGAGAACGTATAGAGCAAAAATGTTGAAAAAATTTCTTTCACTTTCGGTTTTTTGTTAGTTTGAATGATTTGCTAAAGAGCTCAACGAGCTATAATTGCTAGTAAATGAATCATAATTAAACTCAAGAGTAAACAAAAATACCTGTAAATGGAAAAAAAGGGGTGGCTAGGGGGTTAACCCCCCAGTGTAAACTTCTAGGGGGAAACCCCCCTCTCGCCTTCCTTGGTTCCTACGCGAGTGTTGAAATCTGATGCACGTGAAACTTCTGCCATCTTTAACTGTATGAGAAAATAAATCCTCTTCGCGATGCTGTCTTATTAATGTCATTAACATGCACGTTTCAGGTAAGATTCATGGTAACTCAGGGTCTAAAACTTCGCACTTTCGACGTTTCGGAACAGTAGCAAAAAATGAATGCATTCTGTGTCAAATGGCTTCAATACGGTTGAATTAGATAGCAATGTCAGCAAACTTTACTTTTCCTGATGCAGTGTGGCATAGCCAAGGAGGAGCAAGAGGGGTTCTGCCCCCTCCCAATTATCCCCAAAACTTCTTAGTGAAAAGATGAAATCCGTGCAGAAAAGTGGGGGCAGGGTGCAATGTCTGGAATAAGAATAAAGATGGCATTTTTTTGGTTATGATTGAAAACTCGTCTCAGAATGCAAGAAAAATGCTGTTCTAGAGACCTTGATTCGGGGGTGGAAGCGGAATATTTTTACTAAAAATTCAATATTCCAATATTCCAATTTAGCTGGGGTCTTTGTGAAAATATTAATTCCGATTGTGTTTCAAATATTCATATTCTTACTATGAATATTCATATTCCTACCTGAAATATTCATATTCTTACCACAAATATTTATATTCAACCTACTTTTGATCCGTTTCCAACCTGACCTTGGAATTCAAAACTTCTCAGGGGAGAGCATGCCCTCGGACTCCTAGAAAGATTCTTGCGGCATAGGTGCTCGTCTTCCCAATCTATGTACAGGGTGCATCTAGAAAAAGGCAATCGGGTGCTCTTGCGCGCTCAATATTGAGCGCAAAAATTTATTTTTTCATATTAATAAAGATTAGGGTTTTATCTTATGAATGAAACCTTTCTTGTTTCATTCCAAGCACAAATAACCAAATACAGTACAAGCCGATTAAACATTGCCGGTCAAAATCACATTTTCCACCTTCGTAGAAGTGACCAATTTATCACACCATATTTAAGGCTTTTTAAATTAAAATTTAAAAATTTTCGATCCAAATGGGATTTACTTTCAATAGTTTTGCACTCAATTCCCAGCGGTTAGAAAATGCGATTTCAACCAGAAATTTTTGTTCCGCCGTTGCTGTGAAAAAAATTTATTGATTAACACAATAGCTAAGGTGCTTTTTTACACACCCTGTATTTGTTTTGACCCTCTTGAACCTTGTTGTTTGAGTTGTCCTGAATGATAGGATAAATTATTGAAACGCAGAAAGCAGACCCAACCACCTCGTAGGCCGACACAAACCATCCCATTTGAGGAGCATGCTATAGTTTCAACACCATGGTCGAATTGAAACTCTTCAACAAACCGCCCATTGCGTAGATTCCACAATTTCAGCGTCTTATGACGAAGCGAACCTGACAATAGAAATTCACTTCCTGGCACCACTGCTAACGCTCTGATATCATGTGTAATATCAACTCTATGGAGCATCGTTCCACATTTAAGGTTCCATATCAGTAAAGAATTACAATCTAAAAGTGTAATTTAAAATTATAATAATACTGCAAAAGAAATGTTACACGAGGCAACTTTTGCTACAATTACAAAGCAGTTTTGGATATATAGCCATGTTACCGCAAATTGCCATGCAATTACCGAGACAGGTCATGATATTCCAAGAAATTGTCAACATTGCCCGCATTCTACTCTGCAAGGGGATGAAAAATAAAAGAAATATAATTAAAAATGTCGGCAAAGTAAACAGTAGACCATGCGCACAATTTACTGCGACTCCTTTTTAGATAACATAGTTCTATGTCAGGAATGCGTTGTAAGTTGCAGCAAAAATTACCCGGTGTAACATGGCCTTAAAGGGGTCATGGGTTACAAATACAGTTAGGGTGTTGTCCCTTAGCTTACCGCCGAGTTACGCCTGCTGCTACTGCAGGCCACTGATCTGAAATAAGACTGTATAACGCATCTATAGTATGCAAAAGTGAAGCTGGATGTCACCGGTCGCCAGTCGATTCTGGGGCCCCACTTTTGTACAGATTTGTATTACAGTATGGTAGTTTTTCGCGTTTTTTGCCTTGGCTACTACTCGCAAAAATAAAAGCATACAGGAAGAATTTTGAGCAAAAAATTTGGATAATGGCTATATAACGCCGCAGACTTTGAAGGAGTGGAAAGCCCCAGACTTTGTTTATCAACACGAGCTTGCTTTGCTGCTTCCCTACAAAATAAACTCAAAATATACCAGAATTGCCATTGCAGCAGGACAAATATTCTCAGGAAATTTGAAGAAATGAAGCAGCTATACATTGTCAGCAAAAGCGTACTGAGCTTAATAGTTTTAAAATACCTTCTTGTATGTTTGTATCTTTGTGATTGTAAAACTGACTCGGTAAGAAACGTAGCCAAGGTAAAAGACGCGAAAAACTAACATACTGATTTAATACAAATCTATATAAAAGTGGGACCCCAGAATCGGGTGGCGGCCGGTGACGTTTGGCTTCACTTTTCCATACTATAGATGCGTTATCTAGTCTTATTTTAGATCAGTGCTGCAGGTCAAAAATGAGGTGTATTCTTGTAACATCCGGGAGTTAAACTCGAGGAGAACTAGCCAGCTGTACTTTTATAATAAAGTTTAATTATTATAGTTGTGTGTTAAGGTCAAAATGGTACATTTGGCGACGAGATAAAATGGGAAGTCATGGAAAACTAGAAGAATATGACCCACAAGAGGAATGGAGAGTATACTGAGCAGTTGGAATTTTACTTTGAAGAAAGTAGCGTGGACGGCAAAGATAAACAACAAGCGATGTTATTGAGTGTTTGTGGTAAGTTGATTCGGAACTTCACTACGCCAAAAAAACCTTCAGAGAAGACGTTTGCAGAGCTGGTAGAACTTGTACAGCAGCATCAACACCAAAAGCCTTTCGGCAATAGTGCAACGGTTCAAGTTTAATACTCGATGTAGCTGAATAGACTTGGATCAAGTCCGTCTCTCTAGAATCCGAATCGCGAAGCAACGAGATCGAGCGCGAGGTGCGAGAATGGAGGGAGAGACGGACTTGGCTCACTTGCAAAGTTGCAATGTTTCGAATCAGATTATTATTTCGGCGAGAAATTATATCAATAGACAGGTGTTATTTTTAGCGGTTTTGTTACAAATACGGAAACCCACAAGTGTCGGCTCGAAAAAATCGATAACATTTTTATTTATCTACGTTGCGACTATATTTCAGTCATGATCAGGATAAACTAGCTATAGGTTATATATAAAAAGCGGCATTTATATGAAGAAATATGATGCAATAATTAGGTTGATTATTAATGAATTAATTAAATATGATTAGTTCTTTAGAAGCTTTAAGTCCATGATTAAGTTCAGGTTTATATCTTTGAATAGCGAGGGATTCTTGATATAGTAAAAGGGACCAATGGTTAGATTTATCAATTATTTTAGTGTTGTTGAAAACATGTTCAGCCATTATACTGGTTTGATCAGACTTTGCGTCATCGTATATTAGCAGTTTTGTTTTATTCAGTCATTGTGGCTTCGTTGTCGTTGTCATTAGATACTGGTGGTGATGGTTTAAATTGGTTACTAAGTTTTTAGGTTAATTTGCGAGGGAAACCATTCCAAGACATGAAATTTTGGATTTGTTTTAATTCGTTGTTCAGGAGAGTGGCATTACTGCAGATTTTGTAGGCGCGATTTACAAGAGCACGGATCCAAGCAATTTTTCTTGACCAGGAAGTGAAGCTTGATATATGGGAGTATTGACCAGTATAAGTGGGCTTCCTATAGACAGAAGTTCCAGAGGGTGGATGTGGATGTTGATGCCAAGGAAATGGATGTCATTGTCGCTAAATTCGTCAACGGTGAATTGTAAGTTAGTATGGAAAGAGTTAAACTTAGTAAGAATTAATTGTACGTCAGATGGTTTCATAAGAATAAGGGTGTCATCAAAATAACGTTTGTAAAATCTTATTAGTCCTGAATTAATGAGAGGTTTAACAATTTCTAGTCTGATCAAACCGGTATAATGGCTGAACATGTTTTCAACAACACTAAAATAATTGATAAATCTAACCATTGGTCCCTTTTACTGTATCAAGAATCTCTCGCTATTCAAAGATATAAACCTGAACTTAATCATGGACTTAAAGCTTCTAAAGAACTAATCATATTTAATTAATTCATTAATAATCAACCTAATTATTGTATCATATTTCTTCATATAAATGCCGCTTTTGATATATAACCTAGCTAGTTTATCCTGATGATGACTGAAATATAGTCGAAACGTAGATAAATAAAAATGTTATCGATTTTTGGAGTTTCACTTGTTTTGTATTTTATTAAAATACTCAGTGGTTCTAAAAAAAATTTTCGGTTCTTGTGTTTAGCCAGATTTCAGCAAGCAGGCCAGCCCGCTTGTCCATATAAACGAATGATAATTTTTACTATAAAAATAACTACACAATGAGATCTCACTTCTCGGGCTGTCTAGCTTAGCAGGCTAGCCCGGCTTCCATATAAACAAGCTCTTTTAAAAAAGTTTAAAAAGTTGTGGAAAGCTAAAAATTCAATGAAAATTCCAAAGGAGGGGGACCAAAAAAATGGATGTTCTCAACATTTAAATGCCTTATTCGACCAAAATGTTAGATTGACTTGTCCTTAATAACACATGAAAAATTAGAAATTCCTTACCTTTAGGTAAAGCGAAACTCACTTGTAAGTTGAGGTTTGTTGTAGGTTTTACCAATTCATAGTCGAGAACGTAGGAATTACGTGAGATTGCGCGAGCAAGCTACATCAATGTTTACCAGTGAATGAGCACAGAATACCAACATATACGGGGAGTGAGCATCTTAGCATTTCTTATGCCGCGAAAATTGTCTAACAATTGTTGGAAGGGCACGTAATTCCTATGTTCCTCACTATGAATCGGTAGAATCCACATCAAACTTCAACTTACAAGTATGCCTTATTTATATGTAGCTGCATGCATAAATTTGCATGAATTAAAATCGTATAAATTAGATATTAATTGCCGCTCGCAGTCTGGGATATTAATGGTTTTAGAGGTTTTGTAAAGGTCAGTGCGTTGCTGACAGTCTCAGTTTAAATCCGTACGAAAAGATCATTGTTGTGTTAGATATGTACGTAATGTATTTGCTCATCAGCTAAAGGTCTTGTAGATGTGTTGTTTAAGTGTATTTTGTATCTTTCCTTTATAGTTTACGTAAATTACAACATAGTTGAAATGACTTGAATTGTGTTCGTTGGCGTGTTTTGTTTGTCTTCTACAGTATATGTAGTTTGCAGTAAAATCTGATCATAGTCTACGTCACATAGGAATCACGCGATCATGAACAAGAACAAAAAACCAATAATTGTCACACTCTATATTTGCCTCTAACAAATCTGAACCAAGATTACAAGACACATTAATTTTTTTGTTATAAAATTTAGCAAAAGTTCCACAGTTGCACCATCCAGCAGATTCCAAGATACTTTCTATGGGGGCACCTGCCTTGGCTGCAGCGTTAGTGGTAGCTGCTTTGGTACTGTGAGCAGTAAATGTTGTTGTATTAATATCTGCATCCTTTAATACAATCTTGATCCAAATGGTTTTTGGTAATTTAGCAAAGCGACGGATAATACACAAACTTTTGCTTCTGGCCAAACGTTTTCAATTCAATAGGTTTTAGATGTTTCCCTAGTCTCTACTGTTACTGTAAACCGGTCAGATGAAAAAAAATTTCCTATTTGATATGTCCATATGGTTAACATCCAATCAATGAATCGTTTGTGTTCGTTAACCAGTGAGGAGAGCCAACAACATAACGTAATGTAAGTTCAACAAATGAAATACATTCAATAGAAGTGCAAGATCGCAGTCTATTTAACACTTGATTGACATTCCAAATAACTTCCTAACGTGGTAGCGAAGGTTTCCCTCCAAAACCTCTTCACTACAGGGTGCATACCAAACATAAGAGAATTATTAACTACAAGTATGGTTGAAAGGGCAGATCTGGCTGCATTAACTGCATTGTAGCCAATACCCGTATCAACTAGTTCTGCCAGGAAATGAATACCTTGAATTACAGTAGCTGAAACTGGCCTAATCGCTTTGGAGTTGCAGTAATTTTTCCACTTTGTAAGGTAGATTTGGTATTGCTTTTTAGTTTCATCCTGCCAGGCACACATGAAAATGTCTGAAGCTGTTTGTGAAAATCCGCTTGCCTGCAACTGTCCCCTGATAAGTGACAACCAGCAGATCCAGTTTCTTGTGTAGAGGCTGTGCTTCTTGTAGGTAGCTTGGTAGCATATAACAGTCTGGCACTGTGCTGTACAAGAACTGCAAACATATGTCTATATCTGGGTTAACTTGTAGTTTGTCAAGTGCTTGATGTAAAACAGTGGGGTTCCACATCCACTTGCTATGTTATATTTGCCAGGGATATGTTCCACTAAGACCCAGATTCGTTTATCGATGCACCACTTCCAAATATCTAAGACTCCATTGTTACATTGTACTTAGTGACTAGTGTCCATATTGTTGATAACAGCCACTGCTGTCGTATTGTCAATCTTCAATCTAATGTGGGTATTGCTTATGTGAGTCGTTAGAGATTGGAGTGAAAAAAGAGCAGCTATAAATTCAAGGCAATTAATATGCTCTTTCGATTCTTGGGGTGACCAGTGTCCCTCAAAAGCTGTGCCATCAAGAACACCACCCCATCCAATTTTTGATGCATCTGTATTGATTGCAATTGATGGGAGCTCGTGGTTGATAACCTTGAATACATTGTCAACGCTGCCTATCCACCATTGTAATTCTATCCTAATCATAGGTAATAGAACCATTGGGGGATCATAATTTCCCTTGTGGTTTTTAACAGCTATTAAAAAGTCTATTTAACAATTAGACAAGGAAGCTTAGTTGTCTATGAGAGAATAGTCAACGAGGCGAAGCCAAGTTGACCATTCGATCAGAGACAACGAGGCTGAGTTGTCTAATTGTTTTAGTATAAACCACATAAAGAAAACTGAATTTTTAATTTTATTTCGAAATGAGCGTTTAAATGGCTTCCTTCGGCCGAGCCTTTGGCGATATTTCTCTTCGGCCTTGTTGACAACTACTCAGTGTTGTGATCTTCCAAAAATGACTTGAAAAATACTATTTGTGAATTTTTAAAAAAGTTAAAAAACATGTCGTAAAACAGCATAATAGTAAGCGGTCGTTACACTGTAAATGCAAATTTTGGCTAATTAAAAGAAAGAAACAAGGTTTAAAATTTCAAACACAGAATGGCTTGTTCGCCCTCGTCGGTGAGCTACCTTTCCTCCTCTTTGTCCAAAAAATTGGATTTTTCTTTTGCCTCGTTCACCTTCGCGTTTGCCATGATTGAAAGCTTACGGCACATGATATAGCTTGCTTGCGCAATCTCACGTGATTCCTATGTGACGTAGACTATGCTGAGGCAGTGAACTATATAGATGGAAGGCTGACTTTAGTAATTGACGTAATCAAAAAGTGAAGCCAAAGATGGCGGATTTTGAAGCCATTCTTGCGCGTCATTCTCAGTCCCCTTACCCACGCGGCCAAACATTTTTTGTATTTTCATGGCGGGAAGTGATGGGTTCGCGACTCTCGGGTTGTGTTTTTCTTCATTTTAAAAGAGCAAAAAGGGGAAATAAACTTCATTTATTTCATGTAAACCTGATTTCCTTTATCTAATCGATCTGTCTACTTCATTTTCCCACTGTATGTGTGAGTAAATCTGTATTTTTCATTGCAAATTCAACAACTAATTTCAAACTTTTTTTGTTTTTTTTATATAAAATCTGTATTTTTGAAATTGGGAATTTATTTTTGCTTTGGTTGTTTCGTTTTCTTGTTTCTATGGTGCTTTTTAGTTTTCACACCATTATTTAACTTATTTTAGTCCGTTTTCCTGACCTAAAATTGCTTTTTAACTGCAGTTTTCGAGGCAGTTTTTAGTCAATTTAATTCCATAGGCATACATATAAGAAAATTTTGTTTTTTTTATTTTTTATTTAATAAAATCACTTTGATGATTGCCTTATAAACTTAAACTGTTCATTTTAATGAGTGATTTATGTGGGTTAGACCCTTGTCAATAGGGGCATAGAGATATTTTAAAAAAATCAGTGACTTTGTGTTTTGTTTTGTCACTCTTTGTCATTTACAAAAACAGCAATCCCGCGCTATTTTGCTTTCTTTCCACTCAAATATCGCATCTTTTAAATAAATAATAATTAAAATTTAGAAGTGAACCCAAAAAAAACACCAGGATTCAACTTTTCATACAAATTTAATCTGTTTTTCAACAGATTTTTACTCGGAAAATAAAGAAAAATATAAAAAAAGTTTGGCCGCGCACGTAAGGGGACTGAGAATGACGCGCAAGAATGGCTTCAATTTCTGCCATGTTTGGCTTCACTTTTTGAGCTCAAGTCAGCCTTCCATGTGTATAGTTCACTGTGCTGAGGTCGAATTCTTCTAAAAACATAGCATGTGATAGCAATAGGCATTCAGTGCAGTTGCCAAACTCAAAGCACGTTATAGCGCGTCTTTCAAGGATGTGGGCATTGGTTTCACATCGAATGCAATCTGTCCGACATAAACGTGTAAAGATTTGTAACGAAAGCCTCTTCACTGGAAAGACAGCAAACTCAGCAATACAGAGATAGCGATAGCCAATTTGACCACGAACAACAAGAAACGAAGAACGCACGAGCTGTACTTCCTTGATCTGATTACCCAAGTGAATACTTGGCGTAGGTTTGAAGGTCTACAATCGTAATGTTTTGTAAAGTTACTTGCTTTTGCTCACAAAAATTTAACTAAAATATGCCCTTCGTGATTCTTTGCATGCGAAATCTATATTTGTTAGCACGAAAATGAATGTCAGATTATGTCAAGTGATAAGTCCTGCCGAGGAAACATCTTGCTTTTTGGGAGAAAGATATTAATAAGTTAACGTTTAACGATGCTGGTAAAACTTTTTTCAACACATAGCTTTAAAATTCAACTTTTAACAGAAGATTTTGTTCGGACGTTGTGAATTCAAAGTGCAATATTTAGGTTTGCGCAAGGCAAAGTTTGAAGCCCTATACCTTCGCAACAACGCAATAAATAAAACATCGTCGCAAGGAATCACAGGAGAAATCCTTTTTGAACAACATATCTCGATTTCATGAAAAATATTAAGAAACTCGAAAGTGACTGTCTGTGTTTGTTTATGAATTTTGCGATTTACGCGTTCTGATTGGATTGGAGCTAAAATGTAAACAATTCCGGAACGAAATTCACCCTTGTTGCCAATGTTTTGTTTTTCGTTTTCATATTTCTTTTCCTCTAAGATTTTTCGTAAGATTGTCTTTATACATTACCTACTGGTTAGAGATAGAGTCAGGTTTATTTTTTAAGTGTATTATATCCAATTAAAATATTTTTAACTTTAGTTAAGCAAGGTGTTTCACGATATGGCCATTAGTGCTTTCCATTTGGTACGAATTAAAATGAGATTTTTATGAACTAAATAAACCCCAACCCTGACCCTAGAAAGCCAACATTAGGAAGAAAAACAGTTTTTTTTCTAAGAAAATACGAAAAGAACGAATGACTTGCCGGGATTCGAAGCAACGACGTGTGATCTAGTAAGCGCACGCCGTTACCACTACACCACCTGCAAACAGGCTAAACACACTCGCAAAACTGTACTTTTTTATGCATACAGTCAGCTTCTCATCTTAAATCGGGCTCATTTTTCTGTTTTGTTTCGTGACTAGACTATGGAGCTTACACAACGTATTTTTGAAATTTGCTTCGCCAATCAACTTTCGCCAATCAAGCGATTGTTTTAAAAGCAATTTTAAATTCGCAGTGCGTGTTTTATCAGACTTAAAGATACTCGGCTTTGCCTCGTACCTTTATATTTGACAAAACACTACTGCTTATGTTTTAAGTAGTACATAATATATAGTAGCCATTTACCGATGGAGGCCACATGGTTGGAGGCATTGTTAACACGTAATATGTCGTAATGTTGTTTCCCCCAATACCAATCAATCTCGTTAATAACCAAGCCCTCGTTCAAACTCCACTTTATGACTTTAAAGGCATCACGTAATAACCCGGCAGCAATAAGGGAGTCCTCCACTACACGTAAAGTTGCAACTCTGTGACCATCAAACTCGTATGTACTCACGATCCCAGCAGCGTTTATACGATAAACCTGTCAAAATAATAACAACCGTATTTATCCAAAATACCACCAGTGTTCAAAAAACAGTCGGCTATGGGTCATTTTCCGAGCGAAACGCCAATATGACCGTCTACTGATTGCTCTGCACGGACATTATGGCCATGCATTGACATTGCTGAAACTCAACGATCAAGAATTATCTCGTATAGCTATCTGTTATCACCAGTGAACTCTATTGGGTATCTCATGAACCATTATTTGTTTGCGCCAAGACTTTTCCGTGCGTGCGGTACAACTTGAATATTTAATACAATATAAACATCAGACACAAGTATATTACTTTATAGAATATTAATATATCATGTTTTACGTGCAGCAATCTTCAGCAGGCACATTATAAATCTGATAAAGACTTTTATTGGCATTGCCATTGGCTCTTTATAAGCAGAAAAATCCACCTTCTTTTCGACCTGCATGCATGTGTTAATCAATATTGTATGTGTTAATCAATATTTGTATTAACTTTAATCTTTATCGTATTTTAGAAATTTCATTCAACTATGCTTGAGACAAAACAGCCGATATATCAATAGAAACTTTAAAATGCTTATAGAAACTCATCGAGTAATGCTGTGTCTGTGCGGGACTTATGCATTATGTATAATATATCCCGGAAGCTGACAAAATGTAGAGACACTTTATATTGCATAAGGTTTAGCAAAGTATTTGTTCTATTATATTTGCTGTAAGGAATGTCCTTTGCATTCAATGGGCAAGGTATAAAAGACGAAGGTAAATGGCTATTGAATTATATATTATATATTATACTATGCACTATGTCAATCAAAGCGCGTTATTAATACATGTTTTTTTTTCTTTTATAAATGACTTGTTAATGTCTGAGTTATTCATTACTAACACAAAATATCGCCCATGTATTAGCCCCATTCCCATATATAAGCCCCCCCCCCCTGGTATAAGCCCATCAAAAATCGCTTACGAAAGTATGTAAGCCCAGGGCTTATAGTCGGAGGTTTACGGTAGAACTATGATTGTACAGAACACACTCACTCCTTGCAATCGAAGTATAAAGTGCGGAAGTGGAAGCATGTAATTTGATACTTTGCGTACTCCCCCTTGGGAAATCAAATTTCCGTGTGACCAGCCCCAGCCGGGTCTTTCCTCCACAAAAGGAAAGAGCCTAGGAACGAGGTTGTAAACTTCTGAGCATGCATAAATCACTTTTCATCAAAAAATTGACATCAAGGATTTAGCTGGTGTCATTTAGGTCATGTGATTTGTCCATGCGAATACGCCATCCTGTATAAGTACGTTTCCTTGCAGAGAGATAGCCACAGGGGGAATGGGTGGTCAGGATCTCTCCAGTTTTTTTTCAGGACTAATTCTATAATTCTTATAAAACTGAGGTGAAACTGAGGGGGGACGTAACCTGGTAATGCTTTCATCTATGATATACCATATACCAAATCTACAATTTAAAACGCGTTTAAAATCCAAAAAAAAAGCGTTTCGCAGAAACCCATAATCCACGCCCCCAGATGGCCGTTCTGTGTATTCGATTATTAGCCTCTTCCCAGTTACTTGGTGCTGGCTACGAACCTGCCTCCTAGCAATGCTGGATGAAAAATCCTGTTTCGCTGAAGATTAGTAACATTAACACCCATACCGGTAAGCAAGCCTTCCTAAGTGTAATTGTGGTTATACTACTGATAGTAAGGCAAGCCAGCTTGCATGGTTCCCATATAAATGCACATAGCAAAAACTAACAGTAAATGTAAAGCTCTGTGAAGATGTTCTGTGACTGGTTGATTATGACAATGACAAAAGACGTAATTGGCTTACATAAACAAATGGAACATTATTCTTGCTTCGTTCTTTAGAAAATCCATTCTATAGCTTATTCTTTTGTCATTGTCATTATCAATCAATCACAAAACATTTTCCTAGAGCTTCGTGCCTAGTCTGATCCACCATTTACATATTTATTTGATTATTATTGATGCAAAATCCTTTCAAATCATATTACAAACTTTACTACCCTTGCCTTGTTTATATTCCGATTTTAATATATACAAAAGAATATGTTGTCCATTGTCATTCTACAATGTGTATTATAATCATGTGATATTTAAGAACGTTTGCCTCCACATACGTCACGGATAGCCTGGGACCAACAAAATTTACATGCTGCTTCCAGTGAACTCAATCTATTTACCTGGAACGATAACATCACAGAGTAGAGATATACAGAGAGGAAACCGACACTCGATAACCTCAATTTTCGTGTCACGCGTTCCACGCGCCGCGCAAAATTTTCCAGCCAGTGCGTCGCTAAAATTTTATAACAAAAGATAGGAAAAACGCCGTTCGAACCGTGAAAATCGCTTTTTTTAAAAAAATGAGATACCCATTGAAATTTTGTTCAGTAAATTATTGTATAATAACGGTAAGCGATCACTTTTATTGATTTCCTTTTATTAAAAGTGTTAACATAACATTTTATTTAGCAAAAGTTTGTTTTTTTCCCTATCTACTCCTTATTAAAATCGTGAAATACACTGGCTGGGATTTTTAGATGCTTATGTATATAAAACAAAGCAGCAAATGATATAAATTCCTCAAAATTTAACTCGCACAAAAAAACAAAAACATGAATACTTCTACAATATGTATAGTTTCGTTCCTCTTCATTATCAAAATTTAATAAAATAGTGAATTAATATATTTTCTATAGTTAATAAACTTAATATATCGGCGTGACATAATTTGCCGCGAGTTTTATCTCTCTATATCTCTTCTCTGTGATAACATTCAGTCATTTGGAAGTTAAAAAGTGAAGCCTCGCGTGAGCAACGCGTGAGCAGTGGCATCAGCTTTCCACGCCATACGTCAGTTTCAGTCCCCTTATACGCCATCATCGCTCGGTCTATCACGAATCAGTGTGCGTCAGTGGCGTTGGCATTGGCTTCACGTTTCTCCCGCATGTTATCGTTCCAAATAAAAGACATAGATTTGACTGGTTGCTTTTACGAGGCAGCAGTTACTGCTCAGTAATCGGGTTATATTTGACCAGGATGTTATATTTATCCTTGCAATTGAATTAAAGCACGTTATTTCAAAGAGGCCTAAACAAAGAAGCCAGTTGTTTAAAGTGATTAGCACTAACCTTGGGTTAAAATTTCTCACTATTTCGATTTCTGCATTTTTGCACGTTGACATATTTCAAAACCGCAATAAAATTTTATCGGTCGAGGAATAACGAAATATGAAAAAACATCCTATAAAAGTTTTTAAGTAATCTGTTGAAAAGTTTACTTTGACGTTTTTTCTTGATCTACGATTTAGCTAACCGGCTTTCGAACAACGATTCCCTGGTTTTTATTTACTCGTAGCAGTTGTGAACATATGAAGCTGACCAATGTGTCCATATATCTCTACAGTCAGTAAAGACTGATTTCACGCAGCCACACGAAAAGACAAGATATATATGCAGACTATTTTACATCGTTAAAAATGACTTGCTCACAACAGTTACGACCAAATGGAAAGGCTTAAGAGTAGTATAGGAACTGAGGGTTCTAGACCACTTTTTCGGCCCGCGATCACACCCAACTTCCGGTCAGCGGTTTTCATATTTTCCCCCACCCAATCGCAGGCTCATATTTTTCTAGACCATTTTCCCGCCTATTTTTCCCCTCACTTTTATCTAATATTTTTTGGCATTATTTTATCTATTATTTTTAGCATTATTTTTTTCTAGACCATTTTTACATTATTTATCAATTTACTTTTCCTCAAGCATTTTTAGGTGACCGTAATTTTCTGATTTTGGAATAAATTCTAAATCATCCTTTTTATTTTGTGTACTTACTCCAATGTTAATATTATTAGATACGGAAAAATTTATATCACCAGCCTTTCCATTCTTTGAACTCTTACGACAACCACAAATCTTACCTAAGCAGGAGAAGCATGACCTCCACCTTGACATCTTATCTTATGATAAACCACATGTTAGCTACCTGAACCTGAATATCGAAGTGACCAGCAGAATGACATATCCATACTCATACCAATGGGCATTGAGTGTTCAGGTTTAACTATAACACACCAAGCCAGCGTGTTATCTACCAACTCAGCCTGGTTTCCTAAATAGAACATACTATTACCCTTGAAAACGTAGCAAGCTGTACTTCCACCAGTAGTTGTGAAAGTTCCATTGAACCAAGTGTAGTTCAACCTTCTTAGGTCAATTGTATCAAGAACAATTTCCTTTTTAACCTGTGTAAATTTTCCATTAGATTGCTTTTCCCAAACGGTAGCCCATAGTATGAGTCCTATAGGTATATTCAGAACAGTTGAGAAAATTGGGGCGTCTGATTTAATATTTATTGATTCAAGATTGAGGTCTGTCATATTATTAATAGGATCTGTTCTCCATGAAGGTGGTATCTGATCTTGACAGAAAGCGTAGTACCTTGTTGCTGCAACTGCAACACCACGATAACCCCAAATCCATTCTGCATGTATATGTCGCCGTATTCTTACATATCTTGTGTCAGCCGTTGCTTGAGTAAGACCAGTGGAAGGTTTCAGGAAATTACTTTCTACCCATTGTTTGTTAACAGCATCCTTATCATTTACAGGATCCTTTAGATCGAGAATTCCACTTGAATCTCCCATATCCAGATCACCTTTTACCAGTCCACCTCTACTACTCATGAACTCATCAGTTGCCGATTTCCTACTAACAGCGGAACCGTCAGTTGTAGGATTTCCAACCCTTGTCAACTCATAACTGTTAACATCTAGGTTACTAGCTAAAGTGCCACCATCACGTTTAAGAAACTGTGAGCACCATGAAGTCATAGATCCATAAGAAACAGCACTAGAACCTCCTGTTGACCCACTATTTAGTCCTGTAATAGTATTACCACCCATGTCAATATTACCGCTCATAGTAAAGCCACTACTACTTACAGAACTCCCACTGACATGATCCGTGACCCATTTCTTTGACACAGCAGAATTATCAGTTGTAGGAGCTCCAACATTTATTATTTCATTTCCACCCATTTTAAGGTCACCTATCATTGCTCGCGAACCGCTAAGTTTTAGTAAGTTAGTTGTGTACGTTTTAAGATACTGCAACCTTACAAGACTACTTGAGTTTCCAGGGTCGGAGTTACAGTTAGGTGCATTGCTGAAATTAATAGTACCACCAACATTTAGAGATCCTGTTCCATCTAACCGCAAAAAGGTTCCTTCATTTAAATTAAACCATGACTTTGTAACAACAGCCCGGTCAGTAGTAGGATCACCAGCATTCTTAATTTCATGTCCACCCATATCAATATTACCTGTCATAGTAAATCCGCTACTATTAATAGAACTTCCACTAACATGATCAGTGACCCATTTCTTGGAAACAGCAGAATTATCAGTTGTAGGAGCACCTAACTTTATAATCTCATTGTTTCCCATATCGAGGTCATCAGACAGAGTAAGTCCACTGTAAGTTTCACGCCTTTTACGACCACCGCTAATCTTATCTTCCACCCATTTTTTATTAACAGCAGATTTATCGGCACTAGGAGCCTCAATATTTTTAATTTCATTACCTCCCATATGAAGATCACCTGTCATTACATTTGAACCGTCCAGTTTTAGTGCAGTGAAGGTGGTATGATTTATTACCCAGCTACGCGTTGCTGCATCAGCTCCACCCGTAGGATTTCGTAGGTTAGTAATTTTGTTTGCTCCCATATCAATTTCCCCGCGCATTCCCAATCCACTGATAACCCAGCCAGCAGTCGCGGCAGAGCTTGTATTTACAGGGTTTCCGACATTGGTTATCTCATTACCTCCCATACTAATTTTACCTGACATAGTACCACCACTCCGTTTAAGATATGATTCAGGGTTTCCACTAACATGATTAGTTACCCATTTTTTTGAGACAGCAGACTGATCCTCAGAGGGATCCTTAAGATTCTTAATCTCATGGTCCTTCATATCGATATCCCCAGCAATATTAAGTCCTGATACAGGTCTATTTAACATTCCAACTACCCAGTCTTTATTAACAGCAGACTTTCCAGTTGTAGGATCACCTAAAGCCTTTATTTCATTGGTTGACATATTGAGATCATTTGTAAGGATAAGTCCAGGTAGACTTACATGTACATGTCTGCGGCTACCTTCAACCCAACTCTTACTGGCAGCATCACCTGGATTAGTAGGATTATCAAGATTAGTTATCTTATTACCTCCCATGTTAATATTCCCAGTCATTGTAAACCCTGCAGGTTGAATTGTAAGAGCAGCCTGTTTAATGATCTCATCATCCACCCACTTCCTCGTGACCGCAGAAGTATCATCTGTTGGTGCACCCAGACCCTTCACCTCATTACCATCCATCTCAATGTCACCCTTCATGGTAAATCCATCCTTATCAAATACACTTCCAGTTGTTGGATCAGTATTATTTACACCTTTAATATATCCCTTATAGAGAGCCATTTTATAGAATACATAATGTTTACATGGCAACTTTCATTAGAATGAATACAACTATAGCACCAATTCCAGCTCCAGCGACAGCGCTGACTCCTGAAGACCCCCCACGTCTCATGATAGGAAAAACTTGAGTCTCGGCACTTGTAGAACCTCCCTGAGGTGTAACTCTTGTAGGACCTCCCCGAACCTTCCTATTTCCATCAAGAGTATCAAGGTGATGAACTGGTGTATTATCTTGATGCTGTTTTTTAGGAGGATTAACTTGCTTAACCCCCACATAGTTGAGGTTAGTGTTAACCCCTCTTTTCATATCCTTTGTCGCGTTTTTTAGAATATTGTTATACCCAGGTATAGGCTTACTTAGAATTATGAGACTTGATGGAATCAGAACAGTTCCAGGGGTAACGGCTGTGTTAAGTACAACATTTGTGTCTCTAATAGCAATTCTCATATTACTTAGAGTTACAACAGGATCAGCTTGAATAACGCAATCGTTTACCAGTGCGCTGAACTTGACCTGGGTAGCAGATGACTTTCCATAGCTTCCAGTGATAGGTGATCTAGTAGCTGCTTGTGCACCTAACACAGAGTAAACGTAAGCTTCAATTGATTCCCCTAATAGAAGTAAGCCAGTATTTGTAAGTCCGAAATACGGATAAGTTTGAGTACTAACAAACCTTAAATAATCAGACTTACTAACAAGTGCAACCGACACTCTTTCCTCATAGTGTACACGAATTCCCTTTAGAAACCCGTTAACAGTCATAACTGAAGAATTGATTACATTTCTTACGGGATTGCTACCATTACCCCTACCTTTTATCCAGTTACTTTTTTCCCAAGCAAGTCCATAATCGTATACAACATCATAATAATCACTTTTCTTTACCCACTTACCCTTAACAGGGATATGCTTTTTAACGGGATTCAGCATATCCATATAGGGAATTAATCTTTCAGGTTTGTAAACATACTTCCTAATGCAGTAGTAAAGGTGAAAGTTCATTATACTTGTTATCACAGGGTAAGTATCATTACTAGGAGTAAGATGACCACTTGTGATTCCACATAAGTATGTTGCGATATATGCACCACAAAGGGCAGCAAAATAGGGTTTTTTGTAGTCAAACTCTACACTTACACCATCGATCTCAATACTATCTTCAATTTTTGGAAGCATATTTCCACCAGCCTTCCCGGAAGTTACAAAGAAGCTTTTACCGTCCACGTAAACCTTAAATGAATGCGCAGGAGTGTTCCACCCAATTTTTGGAAACCAACTAAAACTATCAAATGTGTCGTAGTTGCTTAATTTAGCCATTACACCAGAACCCAACCTCCACTTTAGAGGCCAGCCGTTAACTAATCCTTGAATATCACTTATTGTAACCTTTGTATCAGCCATAGGTATAAACTGTGCGGGAATAATAGCATTTTTTTTAGTACCTGTGAGATAATATGTAAATTCCTTATTCTTCTTAAAACCATCATATCTAATGTCATATGAAGTTATACCATCTAAGTCCACAAACCAGGTTATAACTCCTATATCAACACTACTTGTTGTCATAGATTCAAAACTGAACCTATCCATATCAGCGTGAGGGTACTTTTTAATAAACCTAGCCCTCACAGCGTCCTCTGCCTTTTTCCCGGCAATGGGATCAACATGATCTTCCTCTTCTTTTCCATACTTCTTTTCATAGTCTTGGTATGATCTATAAGGTGACTTTCCAACGTCTCCTCCACCTGGTATCATTCTTAATAACCTAACGTATGTTATTAAGATGAAGTGCACAATTTTACTTAAAGGTCAGCACACTATCATACCACTTCAGAATTCAGTTCTAACAAGCAACTATAATTCAGTCTTTATGAAGGGAGTTTCAGTGTTCTGGGAGTACTTCAATATAAGGGAACCAACAACTATTATCAAAGTGAAAACAGATGATGGAGAATCTGATGTAATTATTCAAAAAGGTTACTACACATTTGACAGTATGAAAAAATTACTTGAAAGACATGGTGTTAAGCTAACCTACTTTGCTGAAACAGCATCCTGCCAAATAGAGGCAGTAAAACAGGATATCACAATAGAGACGCGATTACTGACTATGTTAGGTTTTAATAGATTCCTAAATCCTATGATCCTACTAAAAGGGAGGAGTTTGACAGGTGACAGCAAGGTTGACTTTAATAATGGTCTACGTGTTGTAAATATACACTGCAATCTTGTAAATAACACTTACAACGTTAACCCCTGGGGAAGACCCAGCGATGTAATAACAACTATTACAATTCCAACTGACAGACCATTATTAGGCTCAGTAGTTAGTTACATTGATGTTGAAAGTAGGACTTCAGTTGTTAAGGGTTCGTTCTCAGAACTTGTATTCCACATGACAGATCAAGACGGGAAACCTACTGATATAGGTGAAGTGCTTATCGAGATGTACCTTGAGCAATAACTTAGTTATTGGCGTCTACTAACGTAGTCGGTAGTTAGCTTACATTGGTTAATATAAGATGGACGATGATATTATGAAAGAACAGGGACTACGAGATATTTACTACAATCCTAAGACTGGATTCCAGACACCAGAGAAACTATATCTTAGAGCAGTATCAGACGGACTTAAAGTAACCAGAAACCAGGTTAAGAAATGGATAAATGAGCAAGACACATACACGAGGTACAGACAAGTGTTTAGGAAACATAAGTTCAGACAGACGTACGTTCAAACTTTAGGTGAACAGTTACAAATGGATTTAGTTGACATGACAAAATATGACGACAAGAACAAGGGATACCGATGGATTCTCACATCAATCGAAATACTGAGTAGGTACGCATTCACAGTACCAGTGTATAGGAAAAACGCGACATCAATGAAGGACGCCGTCAGTAACATTTTAGAGCAATTTAATAATCACTTTGGTAAATACCCAAAATTCGCCCAGTTTGATCAAGGCACAGAGTTCTACAACAAAGATGTAAAGTCATTGCTCAATAAACATAACATTGAGTTTTTCTCTACTTACTCAGATAAAAAGGCCGCAGTTGTGGAAAGATTTAACAGAACATTGAAGGCTCTAATGTGGAAGTACTTTTACAGTGCCAGTACATATAAATGGTTAGACATCCTTCAAGACTTAACTGATAATTACAACAGTTCAGTAAACAGATCAATTAAAACAACACCGGACAGTGTAAATGATTCCAACTGGACTGAAGTATGGAAGACACTTTTTAGTCACAATTTAGGCAAGCCGTCGGAACCAAAGTTTGCTGTCGGAGAAAGCGTCAGGATCTCAAAGTACAAATCAGTGTTCACAAAAGGGTACGAAGCAAATTTCACAGAGGAGTTGTTCACTGTGACGGAAGTGTATCACGGTCATCCAAACACGTACACAATAAAAGACAGTGCTGATGAACCAATAATTGGTAGATTCTATGAACAAGAACTGTATAGCGCTGAAGGAAGAGAACCTGATTTCAAGATAGAGAAAGTATTGAGGAGAAGAACAGTGAAGGGTAAAAAGATGGCCCTAGTTAAGTGGTTAGGTTATGATGACAAATTTAACAGTTGGATACCAGCTGGAGACATCAAGTCCCTAACATAAGTTAAAGTATTATGGAGGACTATGATGACATCGAGTTGGAGGAGACAGAAAAGACGTATCCTCAATATGACGACCTTAATTATGATGACCTATCAACAGCCTTTAGTAGGCTAGATACAAGGGTGAAGGATGAGGCTATGTATGGTGATGACCCTATAGTGATAACCAATCTTAAAAGTGAATTGGACTATGTAAAGGATCTCATGGAGAGACGTGCAATAGAAGAAACAACTTTCACCGAAGGAAATGATGGTACAGTGAACATTTCAGGTCCATCAGGAAGCACAACTGCCCCAGAAGTCAACTTTGTGGAAGACCCAAACAATGTACTTCCAGACGTGCTAGATGCATTCAACGAATCATTTGACGCTGACTGGGATGAAATAGAAGCCCGCCTAGAGAAACTGAAAAAGTTCTCAAAAGACCGGCTTACAGCAAACAAAAAGAGAGACTTTGAAAACCAAGTGGAGCGTGTTCAAGCTGTCGCAAGAGTTATCAAGGGTAAGGAGGGACTAGTACTAGACCCTAAGAATAGATACGTCAGGGAACTCATAAAACGATCATCTGTAAGAACACTCAAGGATGGCACAGAGGTGTTGGTATTTAGAAGTGAACAAGGTATTGACAAAAGTGGAACACAAATAATGAAACGTGGTAAGACCAGTAAACCTGTGTACTCAAAGGACTCACCTGCACTGAGAGAATATAAGGAACTTATAAAGAAAATAAAAGAGGTACTACAGATCCTGACGATATAATTGGAAGTGATGAATCAATTTATGAGGATACTAAAGAAGAGCCGCAATTTAATACCCGTGATGAGGAGTACGCTGACCGTGAGAACATTGAGTTAATAGACATAAGTGCAAAACTAGGAGATCTTCCAGGGCTAACAATGCAAGAAAACAATGAACTGAGAGGTGTTCTTAACCCACCTGATGGATCAAGCATAGAAAGCAGAACAGGTCCTAATGGAGCGTTACAAATCCAAGCTGACTACTTTAATGAAGCTATTGGTAAAACAACGGAACTGGCCACTGAAGCTGAGGGTGCAACTGAGTATAATTCCCTTCTAGAGGGAATTGACAGTTTGAAGGAAGCTAGAGATAGGACACTAGAACAGAGAACAGTAGAGGAAGCAAGAGAGGCACAGTTGGAAGACATTTCCAGATTACGTAGATTTATAGACTGGGTAGGAAAGGAAAAAGTGGGACTTGTAGGGATAGCAGTGTCAACAGCTAGTTTAGTTACAGCCTTACTAATCCATGCTAGGGGAGCCATTGTGAAGACAGGAAAGGCCACTGGTAAGGTAGCAAAAGCACTAGCAAATTTAGCAAAGAAAGCAGGGCCAATTCTAGTTCCAATCCTGAACGCAGTTGCAACAGCGCTGTCGTGGGGAGCAAAAGGAGTTGCCTGGCTAGCATCAAACTTATGGGTACTAGCTATAGCTGCAGCTTTAATGGTGTACAACTATTACACAAAGTAAATTAGCTATGGAGGAACACCAAGAGGAATACGATGACCAGAAAATGGAGGAGCTGGAGGAAAAGTATCCAAAATATGAAGAAATGGATATAGAAACTTTAGATAGCGAATTACCGTACCTCGACGAGGATCTTAGGGAAAGCGAAACTACTGAGGAGACCCAGGATATTAACGAGGAAATTAATTACGTACGGGAACTGAGGAGGAGAAAAATATTGGAAAAAGACCTTACGCGAGAGCAATTAGCTGAGAAATTTCCTGACCTATCTAATCTGTCATACGATGATTTAATGGATAGGGGAGACAGACTGTTAAATGAATTAATACTATCCAATTTGGACGAAGACAGTTTCAAAGAAAAGTCGGAAGAACTGAGATACGTCAGAATGCTATCAAACGATTACCAAAGAGAGTCAAACTTAAATAAACTTCTCAACTTGAGAGACAAAGTGAAAAAGAGGGATCTCATTAAACGGGATGATCTTAGGAGACTACAAAGGCTCAGGTTATGGGCAAGGGAGAATGCAGGCATCTTATCAGCTGTTATAATTTCCTCATCAGCTATAATCATAGGACTGGTAGCATCAACTAGAAACATAATGTGGAAAGTAGGTGACACAACAGGAAAGCTTGATAAGAAGATCAGTGAGTTGGTAAGCCACCAAATAGAACTACCACCTGTATTTCAGAAGATAGCTGATGGAGTAGAGTTAGCAGCGGATAATATATGGATAATCATTGTATGTGCAGCAGTTGTTCTACTATACCAATTCAACTAAACATTACATATTGTATAAAGTATGAATACCACAGAAAGAGAAGTCCAGCCTGGCTTCAGGAGGAGCCGCATGACATCTGTAAAAGGACCAAGAACTAGAAGTGTTGTAACATTTAATCCAACAACTATCAGCCCGGGTGAAGAGCTATACATTAACAATTGACTTCAAAAATTCCAATACAAAGAGCCACTTTAATAACAACCTGTCTAAGTTGATAGCTAAACGTCTTCAGATTAAAGTAGCAGGTGAAACAGCTTATGACTGTTCAGGAGAGAGTTTGTACGAAATATACAAAGATCTATGGCTAACACTAGGTGACAGAAATAAGATGACAGAACAGGGTCTCGCAAGTGAGAATCTTAGGAAGCTAATGTCAGGTGATGACTCAGGCGCAAAGGTAGGTGATGTTGGTAAAGTAGCAGATGCACTTCTCCACAGTGTGTACGGTTCTAAGCTGAGAAAACCAATTGACAAAATAATTGCAGACCATGGACTCTACACACCGTTCTCCATGAATAACAATCCTATGTACATCCTCACACTCCCGCAATCAGATGAGATTATGACTGCCCAAGGAGGTGAAGCTAAGGGTAATTATAAACTTGATAATCTTGAGTTAGAATACGAGACCATTGAGAATGACGCCCTTGCAGGTGAAGTATCAAGGATGTATTCAACTGGTCGCTCACTGTCCTACAAACACGTCACACTAATGCGCACAAGTAACTGGGACAAGGATCTTACAATTGTGAATGAAAACATAAATATCCCCCGAAAGAGCATGTCAGCAATTGTCCTTCTATTTACCAACAGAGTAAGAACTGATTCTGAAGAATATATTTACCCAAACATTGATAAAGTGAACCTCACCATTGAGGGTGTGCCTAATGCAGTTTTCTCCCCGGGACTTCCTAAAAGTAGATTCTTTGAAGAAGCTAAACGATTCTTTTGTCCTATGTGTGAGAAATCCATGGCAGATGAATTTATGTCCATCAGCAGGTTCTTCAGCACCGGTTTCGCCCTAGTAGTAGATCTAAGGTCAACACAGGATGACACCACTGGAGGAGGTAGAAAGATTGTTAACACACAGTCTGGAGTACTTATGGAAATTAATAAGAGAGCCACAACAGCAGATGTTCAGTGCAACATTTTTATTGTATCAGATGCTCTACTTAACTTTGCTAATAGAGATCTATCAAGTATTCAATACTAATGACACCAGCGTCATTTACGTAGCCTGCGGAGTACTAAGCGTAGCCTGCGTAGTACTAACGGCAAAGCATAGAGATGAATCTAGAGCCACCATTTAATATGCTCATAGTAGGAATGACTGGAAGTGGTAAGACCCAGTTCTTACTTAATATGTTAGAAACAGAATACAATAAAGTTTTTGATTATATTGTTATTATATGTCCAACAATAGAATGGAATATGACTTACATTAATTGGGTTCATATTAGTGACCACGGAGTCATACAAATTCCATGTTCCCAGGAAATGATCAATCTAGTTCTGAACGCAGTGTCCACCATATTCCGCGGAACCCAGACTCTCATTATAGTGGACGATTGTGCTGCAAGTCAGGATGTAAAGAAAAGAGTCTCGGAACTGGTGCGACTAGCATTCTCCGCAAGACATTACAATATATCTGTCATTGTAATTACCCAACAACTGTCATCAGTAGCAAAACCATTCAGGGAGAACATTTCCAGGTTAGTTACATTCTACAACCCTAGTCGCAGAGATATGAAGGTCATAACAGATGATTACCTGAGTGGTGTCCCTCAGGAGACAATCACAGAGATTACAAAAATACTAAAAGATGAGAAGTTCACCGCACTAGATATACTCCTCATTCACCCTTACACATATAATATTAAATTAAACACCGCGTAATATATAAAAGATGGGAAGCGAATCCGATGAAGAAATAACTGCAGCTGTGAGAGAAGTAGAAGAGGCCGCAAAGGCACCGCAAAGAAAAGCTAAGTCTACCGCAATAAAAACTAAGCCAACCGCAGATAAGTCGCAAACCGAACATAAAAGGAATAAGCTTATCGAGCTATCTAAGGACGGTGTAATTGATAAGACCGCAAGTTTCATAAGAAAGTCCAACAAAGATGTTATAGATAGACTTTACAGTGAGTATGAAAGTCAGAGGATGTCATGCGCAAGTGACTTCTTATCAACACTTATTATCTCAAAGTTTGCTTCCATACTAGGAAGTTTTAATGCGGTGGAATCTTCTGAGATGCTGTCAGAGGAACTACTTAGTGATAAGCTTTTAAAGGATGACGTATGTTATTTAACTAGAATGATATCCCCAAACATTCCATTCATTGGTCTCATATCAGGTGGATGCACAACAGCAAAGCACGTGGTTGCTCACAAGTGGAATAAGAAGGGAAAGACTGAGGAAATATCTGAGGAAGCAAAACAAATCTTATTACATAGTGAAGAAGAATGTCAGACCATGAGTGGGAGAACGCCTGGGAAGGAACAGAATTCGAAGCCATAATCAATGAGTTAATTGAGAAAACCAATAGGAGCATGGAAAAGATAGATAGGATTGGGAAGAAAGTTGACGCAATTGAGAGGGACCTATACTCACTTAAGTTTAAAGTAATGGAACCATTTCAACATGAATTCTGTACTTTCAGGGATGACACAGTTAAAACAGTTGTAAAGATATACAAGAGGCTAAATGAAATGTAATTTTTTAAACTAGGAAGAAAACGTGGACGGGGAGTAGTTGGGTGGTAGTAATGCTACTTCATAGGTAAAACAAGGGGTCCCTCGAGGGACCCATTAGAGAAAGGTTATAATACAACCACCCCTGTTAATTCAAGTGGGACCCTTAAGGGTCCCACTCTTATAGTCTGTTATAATTAACATTAATAAATCAGAATAAAATAGCTATAAAATAGGCCCAAAGGTTTTCACATATATAGTATAGAGAAAGATGGAAAAACTCTTCAGGAACCGAGATCTTAACGTTAGTGTGAGAACTATTGAAAGTGATGGGGAGGTACTATTCTACGCAAAAGATGTGGCAGAATCTCTTGGGTACTCAAACCCACAGAAAGCCGTCAGGGATCATGTATGGGGATCAAATAAGGTATTAATGGGAAAAGTCAAAGGGGTGAACGTTTCGTTCACCCGGAAAGTTAGGGGTGAACGAAACGTTCACCCGGAAAACCATCAACAACATACAGTTCTTCTATATGAATCAGGAGTGTATCAACTAATATTCAAATCCAGACTTCCAATAGCTGAGCACTTCCAGGACTGGGTGTTCAGGGAAGTCCTTCCATCTATACGAAAAACTGGCACATATAGTTTACCAGATAGAAGGTCACTTAGATACAACCAAATGATCCTTATAAATGAAACGGACCTTCATAATGTCATTGTAAGTTACATCAGAGATAACTACCCAGAGGCTGTAATATTACCTGGTCTAGGTGAGTATCAGGACACTGTGTCAAAGAGATGTGATGCCTGGAAGAAGGGATACAAAGGTGGTCAACCAGATCTTATCATAGAGAATCCTATGGGAAAGTACAAAGGATTTGCTATTGAATTTAAGTCCCCTAAGGGCACCGGAGTTATAAGTGAGAATCAGGATATATGGTTTAGGAAATTGAGGGGAATAGGGTACATGACAATGGTATCAGATGATCTGGTAAAGACTTGCATTAGAATCAATGAGTATTTTAGCATAGCCGATACTGACGTAGTCGGTACTTCCTCACTTAAGAAGACTGTAAGGAAAGTTGCAGTGAAAAATGTAGTTTGTGACGTGAAGACGTACAGACCAAGGTTCAATTCAGGTAAGTTTTGAGTTACCTCACAAGCAAATCTGAGTTACCTTACCAGTTATCTCACCAGTAGATTTAAGTTATCTTGCAAGTAAATTTGAGACATCTCACAAGCAAATTCAAGTTATCTTACAAGTAGAATCTAAGATGTCTCATAAGACTAAACCCAGTTAAACCTAAGGTATCTTACAAGTATTATGGAAGATAAACCTGAGCAAATCCAAGCACAAGTAACAAGTGAGAAGAAGAAGGACCCGAAGAGAGTAGCGGCAGGAAAACGATTAGCTGCAATCAGTAAAATAGCAAAGGAGAGGAAAAAGAAACTTGCGGAACCTAAGGAGCCATCAAGTAATGACATGATTACCTACATAGGAGTGGCCATTGCACTGGTATCTCTAGTGCTAGCGTACAAGTCGCATCAGAGGGAAACCAGGGAACAGGAACCCAAACACGTAACTGAGACTGTTGAGATAACCAGGAAAGCTGATGAGTCCAGGTTAGATTCACTTGAATGATACACTAAACATAATATATATTATAACAAGATGAGTAAAGAATCAAAGATGACCGCGGAAGTGTACAACGCAGTGTTACTTACAGCAGGAGCAGTTGGTATATCAATGGCATCGAAAAAACTATTGAAAGAACCGTTAGGAACCCCAGAGAATGTAAAAGGAATGGTAAAGCTAGCTGTCGCAGTTAGTCTTTCATCTCTACTAGTATCTTACCTGAAAGATAAGAAGTATCTACCAGATGATCCATTCAAACCTAAGTAAGACTATACAATGGCGGGAGCAGTAGCAGGAGGACTCTTTAATGCATTTGCATTTGCTGGAGCAGGATACCTATTTAAGATGTTTGATAAGAACGGATATGCTAAGGAAGCCCATAGACATAACATTGCAATGGAGAACCTAACAGCTGAGAGAGAGAAGTACCTTGAGGAAGTCACCAACAGGAGAAATAGAATAGCCAAACTGAAGTCAGAACTGGCTGAGGCAAGTAGGGATATTAATGCAACAAATAAATCACTGGAACTCGTTAGAAGAATCAATGAGTTAACACGTAAGGCTATGCCGAGGAGGCCGCAGTTAAGCAATCACTACAAACCTAGCTCTGAGATGGAAGAATATATGGCAATATTTGGTTTAATTATAGGTGGGGTGGTTGGAGGGGCAGCTTAGTTAATTCTATAAAAAATACAGCAATTTTCTTTTACATATATAATATAGAGAAATGGATTGGCTTGCAATGGTAGACGTTGACGAAGTGGTGGCCTTGGGAAAAAGGGTGGACACCATAGAAGAACTAGAGGCCGCAGTCAAAAAATATGTGGAATGGCGAATAATAAGGAGACGTAAAAATAAACCACAAAAACAAGCAGAAAATTTTAACACATATAGTATAGGGGATGGACTGGCTGACACTGGTAACACCTGATGAAATGGAACGAGTCGGTAAGAACGCAAACACCATTGAGGAGTTAGAGGCTATAGTAATGAAATACGTGAGAAATAAAATGAAGGTCAAACATACATACGATATCCACTATGTAGTGAATGTGGTAGTAAGTCAATTGTGGTAATAGATGGAGCAGATACATGCACACGTTGCGGAACTAGTGCTATGAACAACTTCACATACTACGTTAGTTACAATCACAACAAGGACGACTACCTGAAAAAGAAGTCTTGTCATAATAGAGTCCGTTGGTTTGAGAGACACTTATTCGAGCATGTTGCTTCTGGGGATAGGGATACCATACGGGAGCAGTTTAGAAGCATCGTAAGATGTATACAAAGACTTAGACTGCAACGGGGGCGCAACATAGTTAGATATAAGTTTTACCTACTAAGGTTAGCCAGCATGAACAACATCATGTTAAGAAACCCACCTGAGGACATTAAGACTCAAAGGATTGTGAACATCCTTGAGGACAGACTATATGGAAAGGTTTTTCCCGAGTTGGGATGGAAACCCATAAATTGTAAATATTATAATAACTGGAAATTCAGACATAAATAAAATATTAAATAAAATAAGAATTAAATTACTGGATAAAATTATTAATTAAACAAAATATTTAATAAGATAAGAATTATTAAATAAAATTAATTTATTAAATAAAAATTATTAAATAAATAAAATATTAAATTAAATTATTAAATACAAAATTAAATAGGCCTTAAAATAGGCCTATTTTTTTTTTACCTATAGTATATAGAGAAAGAGTGAAAAAATGGCGAGTAACTTTGACATGAACGATATGACTGTTGAACAACTTATGGCGCTTAGTGAGATAATTGACGATAGCGACTATGAGGAAAGTTTTGAGGATGAAGTGGAGAAAATATCTGAGGATAAGTTCTATCGGGTAGCACCTAAGGATAAGGGTAAAGATCCCTTTGAAGGGGAAAGACTATTCGTAGATGCTGGAGACTATTCTACGGACTCTAGAAGAGCAAGAAGACGTCCCCTGAACGAGAAAGGCGAGAGAGGAATTATGCCTACATGGAAATATTCCGAAAGACAGAAAGCAAAGGCTCTACTAGTTGAGGAGGCTTATCAGAGTTTACTTAGCCAGGGAGTTGAAGGTCTGCCGCCGACAATGGGAGGTAGATGGAGAACAGATGATCCCCAGGTGAATGAGGAAATGAAGAGGTTAGAGAGGATTAGGAATCCAAGACGTCCTAGAGGAAGACCACCAAAGCCTAAGACTGATGTTAAGGTCGTAGCCCCAAAGAAACGTGGAAGACCTGCAAAGGTTAAGACTGACTCTGTAGCGCCTCCTCCAAAGAAACGTGGACGCCCACCAAAAGCTAAGGTAGTTGAGGCACCAAAGCGTAAGGTTAAAAGGCAAACTGTGGCAGAAAGATTTATGAGCCAAAATAAAATAAAACTCACGATTCCCGCAGATAGTGTAATAACTCAAGTTGGTCCTAATAAGTACACAGTAACTGTAGACCTTAGTAGAAGACCAACAAGGAAAGCTCCTGAGGTCCCAAAAGGTGTAGCATCATGGCGGCCTGTTCCTAGACCAAGAACAGTGTTACCTAAAGCGAGACCTGTTCCTGCTCCAAGAACTGTGACATCTAAAGTAAGACCTATTCCTGCTCCGAGAACAAAAAAGCCTGTGCTTCCTCCAAAGTTAAGGAAACCTGTGAAAGTTATGAGAGAGGTTAAGGAACAGCCTGCTGTGGTCGCTCCAGAGAAGCGTGAGATTGATCCATTTGGAACATATCTTGAGAAGCCTTCCTACAGAAAAATAGAAACTGCCGCAAATGGTGCAGCTGTGACTTATTCGATTATTCCAAACTTTATGGATCCACTGGAGCAGCTAACAGCAAGTAGGCAGGTTGTGAGGAGCATCCTAACGGGAGAATTGAAGAGAATGGGAGGTCTTAAATATACTGAGACAATTAAGGTAAGAATGTCTAAGGAAATTGGAAATAACAAAACAAAGAAAGATTCTATTTACTTTAAGTCAAAAACTGGAACTGCAACAAACTTTGAGGATATCGAAGAAACTGCAGCACAAAATCAGGTGACCATCTTGGGTAAAATTGAAACTTTCCAGAACTTAGGTTCAAATTGGATTATATTGAACATTGAGAGTCATTACGTAAATATTGCAATGTACAAACCACTCAAGGGAAGTTCATATATGAAATTACCCGCAGACATTAGTAACCCAAAATGTGGACTTATAAATATGCAAAATGATGACAATAAATGCTTCATGTGGAGCCACCTAAGGCACGTAAGACCTAGAGCAAGAAGGGCAACAACAATAACAAAGCAAGATAGGGAGTTCGCAGTGAACCTGGATTATGAAGGTATTGATTTTCCTGTGAAGATTAGTGATATTGATAAAATTGAGAGAAAGAATTCAATAAGCATCTCAGTGTTCGGCTATAAAGGCAAAAAGCAGTTCTACCCTATCAGGAACTCAAAGACAAAATATGATGAGCATATGGAGCTGCTGCTGTTGGGAGACGGTAATGGTGGAAATCACTACGTACTAATTAAGGATATAAATAGAATGCTCTTTAGTGTTAGCGGTAACTCAAACAAAAAGCACTTCTGCTATATTGCCTTCATAGTTGCGTTAGTGAGGAAACGTTAAAGAAACATACTGAGACATGTATGAGTGTAAACGGAACGCAAGCCACAAAGCTGTCCGAGGAAGGTTCAAAAGTAAAGTTCAGTCATTATAGAAATTCAATGCCTGCTCCATTTGTAATTTATGCTGACTTTGAATCTATACTCGTTCCTGAAGAAAGAAAAGTGGAACTTGAGGGCACGGAAGAGAAAAGTTCAACAGAGCTTTACCAGACACACAAAGCTTGCAGTTTTGGGCTCAAGAGAGTGTGTCACTACGATGATAAGTATTCCGGGGAGTATGTGAGCTACGTTGGTGAAGACGCAACAAATGTCTTCTTGAGGGAAGTGTTGAAGGAATCTATCAGGTGCCGGGAAATGGTAAATAAGATCTTCAAAAAGAAAATGGTAATTACACCAGAACAGGAAACAGAATTCTGGTTGACTAGAAACTGTTCCATTTGCGGATGTGACTTAGGTGATGACAGAGTCAGGGACCATGATCATGTAACTGGACTGTTCCGTGGAGCTGCTCATAATATGTGCAACTTGAAATATAGAATTACCTGGAAAATTCCGGTGGTCTTCCATAATCTAAGAGGTTACGATAGTCACTTGATAATGCAGGAGATTGGTAAGTTCAAGATGAATATTAATGTTATTCCAAATAACATGGAAAAGTACATTTCATTCTCGTTAGGAAAAAATCTTGTGTTTATTGATTCAATTCAATTCATGGCTTCTTCTCTAGAGGCACTTGCGAGTAACCTTTCACCTGAAGACTTTAAGATAGTAGGTAAGAGGTGGCAAGGAGAGGATTTTGATCTTGTACGTCAGAAAGGAATATTTCCTTATGAATTCATGGATAACATTAGTAAACTAGATTATGAGGGACTTCCAAGTAAAGACAAGTTCTATTCGTCTCTCTACGAGTCTGAGGTAAAAGATAAAGATTACCAACGAGCTCAAAAAGTTTGGGATCACTTTGGAATGAAAACAATGAGGGACTACCATGATCTCTACCTAGAGACTGACGTTCTTCTTCTAGCTGATGTCTTTGAAAATTTCAGGAAGACCTGCTTGGAGAATTATAAGCTTGACCCTGCTCATTACATCTCAGCACCTAGTCTAAGTTGGGACGCGTTCTTGAAACAGTCAGGTGAGGAAATAGAATTGGTAAGCGATATGGACATGTTTCAGTTCTTTGAGAAGGGAATGAGAGGTGGGGTAAGTCATATTGCTCATAGACACTCTCAGGCTAATAATAAGTACATGGAAACATATGACGAAGAAGCTGAAAAGAAGTTCCTTATGTACCTCGACGCGAACAATTTATATGGCTGGGCGATGTCTCAACCTCTTCCTAACGGTGAGTTTGAGTGGATCGAGAAAGTTGATGAAATAAATATAGATGACTACCTGGGAGACGCTGGAAGAGGAATGGTTCTTGAGGTTGATATGGAATATCCAGCAGAACTTCACGAAGAACATAACGGATACCCTCTAGCTCCAGAGAGTAAGGAAATTGACGTGTCAATGTTGTCAGATTATGCGAAGGAAATTGCCGACAAATTCCAGTTGAAGATTGGAGGTGTAAGAAAGCTGGTGAATTCTCTGGGCCCGAGAAAGAACTACGTCTTACATGTCAGGAATCTAAAACTGTATATGGAACTTGGAATGAAACTTACGAAGATTCACAGAGCAGTTTCTTTCAAGCAGTCAACTTGGCTGAAACAGTATATTGACTTCAATACCCAAAAACGATCAAAAGCTAAGAATGCCTTTGAAAAGAACTTCTTCAAGCTCATGAATAATTCCATATATGGAAAAACTATGGAGAACCTGAGGAAGAGAGTTGATGTGAAGTTGGTGTCGTCGGAAAACGATCTACTTAAACTGACAGCGTCTCCTTGCTTCCAATCACATAGAATTATGAATGAGAGTCTGATTGTAGTTAAAAGGTTAAAGGAAGTTCTAACCCTGAACAAGCCGTGTTATGTGGGAATGAGTATTTTAGATTTATCAAAAACTCTGATGTATGACTTTCACTACAACACGATTAAAAAAGAATACGGTGACAAGTCTAAGCTCCTCTTTACTGACACTGATAGTCTCATGTATGAGATCAAGACTGATGACGTGTATAAGGACTTCAAGAGGATCGGTGAAGAGAAAGATTGTTGGGACAACTCAGATTATCCCAAAGATTCTCCGTATTACTCAGACTGTAACAAGAAGGTAATCGGGAAGTTTAAGAATGAAGCTGAAGGGGTACCAGTGACTGAGTTCGTGGGACTAAGGTCAAAGATGTACTCTTATGTTAAGGAGAGTGGTGGAGGTGGAATGACAGCAAAAGGTGTAAAAAAGTACGTGATCAAAAACAAGCTCACTCATCAGAACTTCAAAAATGTCATCAAGACTAAAGGAAGAATGAGACATGTAATGAACACGATCAGAAGCATAAAACACAAGATTGGAACTTACATGCTACAGAAAATCACCCTTAGCTGTTTCGACGATAAACGATATTTACTTGAAGATGGCGTCACAAGTTATGCTTACGGACACCACTCAATTGAAGATCTAAAGAAGGAAGTGAAGATAGTAGAAAGAGTAGAACAAAAGTGGCCAATAATAAAGCTAAGACCACTGAAAAAAGAAAACTGGACAATTGAAAAGGCTGAAGTCGCATACGATGGAGTTTGCGGTAGGGAAGTAAAAATACAAACACCAGAACTGGTAAATGGGTCGGAGGAACTAATCTTAAGATTTGGTGAGAAAAAGTCGGAGTCGTATAAGAAATGGCTGGAGGGTTGAAAAGAGACTTGGCTGGAAAAGTACGCAACGGAAGAGTTCTATAACCTAGAACTTGAAGATGATGTATTCGATAACAATGACGGAGGTCAAAGGTCTGGCTTCAAACCTGGAAACGAATCTTACATTCCAAGACCACAGCCGACGTGTGCGGTGCCACTTAGAAGGTGGAAGTTCAAAAAGCTGGATCAGTTAAGGGTACTGGCAACTGATACCAATCATCTAAGGAAAAACCTAAGTGCCCAACCGGGGGAATACAAGAAGGCAGCAAAACTGCTGTACAGAACACTGGGTGCAAAAGCCTTTAAGATAGATCCAGGGAACAGCTCAAAGAAGGTGCTCATTGGATATTGAGTTAAGATGTAAAAATAAAATTATAATAGGAATTAAATGGAGCTGAGAAAATTGTCTTGAAAAATGAAATTACAAAAATAATAGATAAAATAATGCCAAAAAATATTAGATAAAAGTGAGGGGAAAAATAGGCGGGAAAATGGTCTAGAAAAATATGAGCCTGCGATTGGGTGGGGGAAAATATGAAAACCGCTGACCGGAAGTTGGGTGTGATCGCGGGCCGAAAAAGTGGTCTAGAACCCTCAGTTCCTATACTACTCTTAAGCGGTCAATATAGTCTAGCTTATGATAGTGCATCGAGCCGTGACGAGCAGACGTGTGCTTTTCTGCTCCGCTGTATTTGTATTATTTGTATTCGTTTGATAAGAAATATGCCACCAAAAAAGAGAAATATTGCTACTGAGAAGACTGCTTCAAGAATTGAAGACAAATCTGATGTTATTGCAGAAGATTCCCATACAAGTGATCAAAATGATGAAGTACGAAGTGATCTTGAATCGTTTCTTGATAGACGCCTACAACAACAGACTAAATCAATTAACGAAATGTTCGAAAAGTTTACAACTTCTACTAAATCGGATTTGGATGATATTAAAGCCAGTCAAGAATTCATTAGCTCTAAGTTTGATGAGCTAGCTAATTCAGTTGATATCTTGAAGGCTGAAAATCATGAGTTACGTTCACAAAACGAGTCGTTTAAGAAGAGAATTGATAACCTTGAGGGTTATGTTACAACACTTGACGTCGATTTGGAAAGCCTCAGAGAATATACTCGAAGAGATATGCTTGAAATACATGGAGTCCCAATTTCGACTGGGGAAAATACAAACGAAATTATTATTGCAATTGGACAATTGTTAGGTGTGAACATTAAAGAGTCGGATATTTCTATAAGTCACCGACTATCGGCAAGAGAAGGGTTCATTGCTCCAATAATTGTCAAGTTCTCAAGACGAGATATTCGTAATGCGATGCTGAGTAAAAAAAGCAATCTACGGAATAAATCCTCGCTTGATTTGGGTTTGAATGAAGAAGTCAAAATTTATTTAAATGAAAGCCTGACACAAAGGGGTAGGTCACTGCTCCGAGCAGTGAGAGCATTCAAGCGAGACTTTAACTTTAAATTTGTTTGGACAGCTAATGGAAAGGTATTTTTAAGGAAAAATAATAGCCAGGAATCTAGAGTTTATTCATTTTCCTCAATTAAAGAATTTGACGAATTTAAACTGGACACTAGGAATTAGTATTTACCTACACCAGTTATGTGACTTCTGTTGTGTGTCAAATAATTAGTTAACTTCGATTCTTAGTCTTAGTATTCTTAGATTCTTAGTCTTAGTCTTTTATAGTCTTAATGATGAAGAATTTGATCATACGATTTATGAATTACAGAATGGCCCTGTTAGTTACGATGAAAACAGACTTTCAAATTTGATTTTTAATCCGTTAAATACTTCGTTTAATAAGACTATTGATCAGTTTACAATCGGTAGTGGTTTGGATCCAGATTTCAATTACTATTCAGGCGCTCACAACTGTGATTACTATACTGAGGATGGGTTTAATGCAAAATTGCGTTCTCAAGGTATTTCTAATAGTTTATCGTTCTTACACCTAAATATTAGGAGTTTGCAACGAAATTTTGATAATTTTTCAAATCTTTTGTTAAAAATTAATATTAATTTTACTTTTATTGGACTTTCTGAAACTTGGCTTAAAGACTCAGAAACTTTAATGGATATACCTGGTTATAGATTTATTCATAACCCCCGTCATAATAGAACAGGTGGTGGTGTCGGATTATATTTTTCTGATCATTTGAATTTCAAATTGCGAAGTGATTTATGTTACGATGATATTGAATGTGCCGAATCATTGTTTATCGAAGTTTTAAAACCCAAGGGAAAAAACATTGTTATAGGTGTTGTTTATCGTCCCCCGGCTAGTGATGTTAATGCTTTCGTTCAAAATACCGATACTTTAATCACTAAAATTGCTAGAGAAAATAAAATTTGTTACCTAATGGGTGATTTTAATATTAATTTATTGAACTATAAAAATCATGAATTAACTAATGAGTTCCTAGATATTATGTACTCTAATATGTTTTTTCCTTTAATAACACGACCCACTAGAATTACTTCATTTAATGCCACATTAATTGATAACATATTTACTAACGACCTGGATAATTGCTTGTTTAGTGGCTTGATTTTCACTGATATATCCGATCATCTACCTGTTTTTAGTTTATTGTATATTCAAGACGAGTTTAACAAAGCGAATGAAAATTCATATGCGGTTTACCGGGAATATAATAACGAAAATTTGCAAAAACTTCGTATTGAATTAGCAAACGTTAACTGGATGATATTCTGTGGATCTACCGACCCAAACAATTCTTACAATGAATTTTTACGTGAATATTCTCGGGTGTTTAATTCATGTTTCCCTTTGAAAAAAAAGACCAAAAAAGTAGATCAACTTTGTAAGTCGTGGATGACCAAAGGACTTTTAAAGTCGATAAAAAAGAAAAATAATCTTTATAGGAAATATTTACGGAAACCTACGTGCGAAAATAATACGATACACAAAAATTACAAAAATAAACTCAACCACTCTATTCGGATAGCCAAACGTTTATATTTTGAAAATAAATTAAGAAATTCCACCTCGAACATCAAACAAACGTGGCAGATACTTAATGAGGTGACAAATAGAAAGAAATCTCGAAATAACTTTCCTTCTATGTTTTCTTGTGATAATCAAGATTTTTCTGATCCAACCGCTATTGCTAATCGCTTCTGCGAATATTTCACTAATATTGGATTTAATTTGGCTAAAGAAATACCTAATTCCTCACGGACTGCCTGTTCTTATCTCAATGGAAATTTTTTAAATTCCCTATTTTTGAATTCAGTTTCTAAAGAGGAAATTGTTGAAATAGTAAATTCATTTCGTTCTGGTGCAGCTCCAGGCTATGATAACATTCCTATCAAGATAGTTAAGAATTCTATTGATCTCATTTCAGAACCATTGTGCGAACTTATGAATTCGTCTATTATAAGTGGTATTGTCCCAGACCAAATGAAAATTGCTCGGATAGTTCCGATATTTAAGACTGGTGATAATTTTTTGTTTTCCAATTATAGACTAGTTTCGGTCTTACCAGTCTTTTCTAAGGTAATGGAAAAAGTCGTCTACAATAGATTATTAAAGTATATTAATGATAATAATATTTTATTTAAAAACCAATATGGATTTAGGAAAAATTACTCAACTTCGCACGCACTTATAAATCTTTATGATAAAATCTCATCCGGTATTGATGCTAATAAGCACAATATTGGTATTTTTCTTGACTTATCTAAAGCTTTTGACACAGTTGATCATGAAATATTAATTTCCAAACTTGAGCATTATGGCATACGAGGCGTGGTCCTTGAGTGGTTCCGAAGTTACTTATCCCATAGGTTACAATATGTAGAATATAATGGTGTTTCCTCCTTGTATAAAGAAGTACGATGTGGGGTACCTCAAGGATCAATTCTTGGCCCTCTGTTGTTTCTTATTTATATTAATGATATTAGTGAAGTTACTGAGCATGGTGATTTTCTTCTTTTTGCCGATGATACTAATTTGTTTTATTCTCATGATAATATATCGTCTTTGACGAATATTATTAACTCCGAACTTCGTCTGCTTTCAGACTGGTTTCGGGCCAATAAACTTTCCATTAATATACCCAAATCTAATTATGTTATATTTAAAACCAGGCAGAAAAAGCAAACGTTTGATCTTACTTTACAAATCAATCAAATAACTATAACTAGAGTTAATGAGGTGTGTTTCTTAGGTGTCATTTTGGATGAAAATTTAACATGGAAAGCTCATATAGCTCATGTTGCACGAAAAATTTCCAAATCAATTGGCATTATTTATAGATCGAGTTTCTATTTATTCAAATCAGCACTGCGAATGTTATATTTTGCACTGGTATATCCTTATCTTCAGTATTGTATCACAGTTTGGGGTTCTACGTATGCTAGCAATACTAAACGTCTTGTCGTTTTGCAAAAACGAGTGGTGCGAATAGTTGATAAACAAGGGTTTAGTGTACATACTACACCTATTTTTTGTAAATACAAATTGCTTAAATTTGAAGATATTTATTTCTTTGAGTTAGGAAAATTAATTTTTAAATACCAGCATGAGTGTCTTCCACGATGTTTTGAAAATTCATTTTTGGAAGTTAACAAAATTCATAATTATGCAACACGTAAAGTTGATACTCTCTACGTTCCTTATTGCAGGACAAATATACGTTTGTTTTCGGTTAACTATCAGGGTCCAAAATTCTACAACACATTGCCTTCTGATATTTGCAATTCTTCATGCATATATAAATTTCAGGATAAGTTAAAACGATTTTTCTTCTCTTTTTATATATAAATGTCTTATTTATATGTCATACGTAATCACTATTTTCTTTAAATGATGATATACATGCGCTATTGAGGTAGTCCAAATTTATAAGCCTCGTGGTTTCACTTTGGACGTCCTCGCCACAATTAGTTCGTAATGTTTTATTATTATGTTTAGTAGGTTAATTAAATTGTGTGATGTGTACCATATGTGTATGTCTTGCTAAGTGATGGAAATTGATATATATGTGGCAAAAATATATTCATTCATTCATTCAAAAAAAACAAAAAAACTTAACATACCTTGTTGCCATAGAAGGAACCAATCACAATGTCCCCGGAGTCAGGCACGAAAGTTAGAGCGGTAATGGGATGCGGGTAAACATTGTCATGTGACCAAATTTGACTCCACAAAGGCGGCACGGTTTCTGTAACATACCAAAGTTTTACACACCCACTGGCAGAGCCCGATACAAAATGTAGCAAACTAACTGGGACGCTTTTAACTTGAGAAACGGCTTTAGAATGAGCTTGATGTTTATAATTTTTTTGTTTAACATATAAATTAAATAATGACAATTCTCCGTTTTCACAACCAAGCAATACATAGTCTACACCAAGAGCAGTAATGCATGTCACTTTAACAGCTGGTTGATCCAATAGTAACTCAACCTCTTTATTATAAAAATCTCTTAATTCTACTCTGTTTGTCTGGTCAATAAATACAAAACGGGCTTCATCACTTAATATGCAAACTAAACGTACACCGACTCCAGCTTCTGTCGTTGCGAACGTCTCAACTGCCTGATAATCCTCCAAGCTCACCAGCGATAATGTTCCTGAACTGCTTCCGGTCAGAACTAATTTCCCATTCGATGTGATGTCAATTGCAGTAACTATCGAGTCGTCAGAATGACCTGAAAGTGGTAAAATATTTGCTGTTATTTGAAGTGAATAAGCATAAAACCTTCTTGCATACGAGTTAACCTATGAGGAAATAGAATTCGAGGTACAAGTAATACAGGGTGTCCAAGAAAATGCAATAGCTATGCTCCAAATTTTTGCACAGCTAAATATTAGTGGACATCCAAAGTTTCCGTCACTCCCCCTCCCCCTGCGCCCACTTCCTGGCTTAGCTAGCTGCTGCCCATAGCTACTGCCTATAGTTACTACCCATAGCTACTTCGCATAGCTTACGCCCCCAAGTCAAACTTACAGAAACAAACCAAACTCATAGAGAAAGAAACAAACTACAAAGCCTCTGCGGAGGAAAGTAGGCTAGCAACTAACCAAAACTGAGATTGTGTACGTAATTGTACGTAATGTGTAATAAAATATATTGGTTTAAAAACATAATATAATGAACGCGCAGCTATACGATTGATAAAGAAGTCCAAGATGGAGATATGAACAGCCATTGTGCTTTTGAACATAATTCCTGCAGCTTGATCCTTTCACGAATAGCTCTTAATTTTACACATAACAGAAATACAATATTTGCTTGCTAATAGGAATCTTATGCCTTTCCGCCTGAGACATTGGGGTAGATAGGTTGGTTATTATAATTCATAAGCAGGTGGTGGTAAGATAAGAATTGTCATACGAAGGAAATGGCTAGAATGTCCCTAGGGTGCGAAATGTTCAAGCAGATGGCTGAAAAAGGGGGTTAATTATAGTCCATACTTTTGTGCAGTTCACATCAGTCGCACTGAGTCTACCGGCAAATTAATACCACTGTGCGAAAATATCAAAATTTATTAATGACCCACCTCCTCTCCATGTTTGCATCTGCTATTATTATTAATGTTAATTGTCTATTTTGTAAGTAATGGCGTAATTTTGCCCTCACCTTTCCTGGACAGAATTGTTTTAGAACATTTTAATTCGGTGTATTATATGAATCCTTATCTTTGAAAGTTAAATATTAATAAACCTGCTGGGTGGAATCGTTACCCCAGCCAGATTAACCCAACTACGTGCAATCTCTTACCCAGAGCAATGCCTGTGCGCGGGCTAGGATGGCATTGGCTCTGGGGAAATTGAATTATTTCTTTGCTGTGATTGGTTTAACGTTTATCAATCGTGCATGCCGACAAAGAACAGGAACCCCTAAATTTAACGGTTCCGGTTGTCAATTTCCCCAGAGCCAATGCCATCCTAGCCTGCGCACAGACATTGCTCTGGGTACGAGATTGAACTACGTGTTGAATGGCTTGATGCGTGTGTAATATTAATACTTGGCCCAGCAAACAGAGCGCAGGAAATGCAACACTCAAGTCTAAATGCCAGGGAAGTACTATCTTTAATTAATCTTTAATATTCGCTAGTTCAGAGGGAAGGCATAAAAACTATTACTTCAAAAAACTGTATTACTAGCTGTATAAATCTCATTTATCACCGCACTTAAAGTCCAGCTTAAAGTTGACGGTCATGACCTTTTTCTGTTTTTTTTTCACAGTGGCATACACTTTGGATTGTACTGTATGTTGAATCGCACCATATTAACATCCTAGCTGTTGTTGCTGTAAATTTCATGTTGTTGAACATTTTTGCCGCAAATTTGCTTGGGCCCGGATCACATGAGGATGAAAGTGCATGAAAGTTGGCAACACTATTATGTATTCTATTTGCATAGGTAATCACACGGAAAAAGTGCAGTTAATGATTAAAATTACGAGTGATTTTTGAAAAATGTGCCAAAATTGCACGAGCAGCCGAAGTAAGTGCAATTTGGCACATTCTTCAAAAATCACGAGTACTAGTTGTTACTGATTAACTGCACAACTTGCCCATGTGATTATTTATTTATTATATGCATGACCAAATCGATTCCTTTAAAATTCAAGTCTGCATTTTGTCAAGAGTTTTTAATTCTTTTGTAAGCCGTTTGTTATTTGTACAACATAAATTTCGTCGCCATATTGGATTTTTGTTGTTTTGATTTCCTGCTCCCCCCAGCCATGATCAAAATCATCAATTGCACTCCTGAAAAGTCCAATTAATGACAGTAATAGAACGAATAGGAGTTCTATTAATGCCATGATTATACGAATGATTACGAAATCAACCGACCGTGTAGCGGGAGGTTGATTTGTTAATCACGAGTATGATTATGGCATTAATAGCACGACTTTAATTCGTTCTATTACTTATTAATTATTTATCTTCTGTAATCAAACAGTTTAAGGGGAAAAACACAAAAATACAATTTGTTAAAATTCAATATAATTATTATCCTCCATTTGAGAATTTTTATAGAAATAAGGAAAATAAAATTCAAAGTTTGTATCCTGAATGCTGATTGGTTAATTGTAAATACTAGACTGATTTTCATTGACTGTAGACAAGGGTGCGATTACAGCTCAAAAAAGGTGCGATTAATGCTCAAATCGCACTCCTGTAAATCAATGAAATTGCAGTATTTGCCACGGATTACAGAAGATAAATAATTAATGATGGTAATAGAACGATAATCATACGAATGATTACAAAATCAACCGACCGCGTAGCGGGAGGTTGATTTGTTAATCACGAGTATGATTATGGCATTAATAGTACGACTTAATTTGTTCTATTACTTATTAATTATTTATCTTCTGTAATCAAACTGTTTAAGGGGGGAAAGCGCAATAATACAATTTTTTAAAATTCAATATAACCATTAAATTTTTTTACGACAATTCTCTGATTCTTAGTGAAGTAGTACAATTTTGAATTAAATTTATCATAATCAAATTAACTTATTATGAACTTCCGGGTATTATTTCCGGTATAATCACATGACAACATTGTTTGAATTATTCAACACACAATTTGGAAGTCATGTTTGCATGTTTATAACGTGTTCAAAATAGTGAAGTTCTTTAGTTCAGTTTAATCTGAATCTGATTCAAATATAACCGCTGGTTGTGCCTAGTTCGGTGTCTGCTGGAAGAACAGGTAGGTCATTTTCGTCAGAAAATATATAATTTATTTTAAAAATTAAAAATTAAAAGGTCAAAATTTTCAAAATTTCTGAATTCCTCCATTTTGAAATTTTTTACAGCAATAATGAAAATAAAATTTAATGTTTGTATCCTGAATGCTGATTGGCTAGTTGTAAATACTAGACTGATTTTCATTGGTTGTCGACAAGAGTGCAATTACAGCTCAGAGAAGGTGCGATTAATGCTCAAATCGCACTCCTGTAAACCAATGAAACAGTATTTCCCACTGATTACAGAAGATAAATAATTAATAAAATAATTGCACTCCTTTAACCAATCAAATAGCAGTATTTTGTCATGTATATAATAAAAATTAAAACATAGTTGGAACCTAATCAAAATTTTATTTTTTTTAATCTGGAGCAACAGGCATGAAATTTGTCGTCGCTGACCAAAAATTCGCGGGCAGAAACAAAGCTCTATTGCGTTTTACATTCAAAACAAAGCAGAAAGTTAGCAAGAAGCTGTTTTAGCTGACGATTTTTTGCTTTCCATTCAACGATTTACAAATTAACGCTTATTCTTTTAAAAATCGATCAAGAATTTTTTGTTTTGGGATGATTTGTTTTGTAATGCAGTGATTGAAAGAAGTGATTAGGGCGACGTGAACACTGATAGGGGCGAATGGTGTATACATCGAGCTATGGCTTGTTTAAAACCGTAATAAACGAAGAAAAACGTGATATGAGAATGAAATATAAGTTGAAATTAACTTTATATGCTTCAAATTTTCTATCGTATGTTTGTTAATGTAATTTCAGTGGTCTAAGTTCAAAATACAAGCTCGCAAAATTTAATAAATTTTGAAAATATGTAAAAATAGCTTGACTTTGAACTGTATTTTCTTAAAAATAACCCGTGGCCTCAATTTCAAATATAGCTAAATGAAAAGAAAAGCTTTTTCGGCGTTTCTAATTATCAAACATATCGTCATGGAAAATAGGGGCTCACAATGTTTTAGCTAAGTCTTTGAGACCCAGTTGCTTCGCACGTGTTGTGGTCAAATTTTTGCCAAGAATCAAAGGCTCTTGTTGGTGACTCTGTTGGTATATATTTTGAGATATTCGCTAGTGGGCCCTGTGAATTTACGCATTTATTTGGAATTATATTACCGTGGACGTGGTCATTGTCTGTTGTGTTGTGTTGCATTTACTGATTCGTCATTACTGCTGGCTAATTGGTCTTCACTGTTCATTCGATTTGTCTAACATTTTCTGTACTGTATAAGTACTTTGTTCATATTATCGTATCAATGTTGGTGTTTTTGTGATAAAGAAAATTTCAATAATACGCGTTTTTATGATTTTGACCGTTGGAATTTTTTGAATTATTCGCATCTAGCGTCGTTCGTCATGGCAACAACGTTATAAATACATAATTACAAAGTCATTTATCTTTGGAATTACCTGTTTGAACTTTGACATTACCCTCAAGATTAATATTATCATTGCTCTATTATCGCTTTCCAACATGTACAATATGTGCGGGGTTTACCCTTGAATATTATTTACATCGTTTTATAACATTTAAAATATGATCTTTCTCAAAACAGTCTATACAGTTCTTTTTGCTTGGTTGATTTTCCGTGTGGTTCGTTTCACAAATGAAGATCGTAAGACATTATTTTACTCGTCTACAAACATTCTAACTTCTCCTTGTTATTCTCAAGCCCGTCGTATGAGAAAAGATTCGACGTCACTATCTATTCTTCGAACTGTTCGAAATGCATCTGCCTTACTACAAAGATCGTCTTTACTACTAATGTTGGTCCTCTTGGCAAACGACGAGCAACTAAATCCAGGTCCTTCCAATCCCATTCCTGCTAAGCCGTGTAAAACTAATCCTAGCGATCTTAAAGTCCTTTACTTAAACGCCCGAAGTTTGAAGTCTTTCGTCCCTGCTGACAATGACACTTCAAATAAAGTTTGCAAAATAACCTTACTGCAGGAGTTGGTTCACAGTGGTGAATATGAAGTTGTCTGTATTTGGGAAACTTGGTTGAACAGTACGATCCTTGATACGGAACTGCTCCCGGGTTTCAATATTTTTCGTCGGGACAGGACGGGGAGAATTGGCGGTGGAGTTCTAATCGCGATTAAAGAAAACTACATGCTACTCTGCGTTGTGACCTCGAAAGAGATGGCATTGAACTTGCTGTAGTTCAACTCAATAATGGGAACAATGAACCAGTAATTCTTTATGTGTATTACCGTCCTCCCAACTCCTCTCCTGATGCCGGTCTCAATCTTCTAAACAACTCCATAGCAAGTAACCCGGAGTCATGTTGCATAATCCTAGTTGGTGACTTTAATATTCCTTCTATCTCCTGGTCAGACAGCCCATCAACTCCTATTAACACTGGTGGATGCTACAATGGTGAAAACCTTTGTGAACTTATCGGCGATAATTTTCTGTATCAGTTCGTTGATGGCCCAACCCACCGTGCTGGAAATAAGCTTGATTTGCTGTTTTGTAATCGTACCGAAACCCTGTCCGATAACTCTCTCCTGTAATGAACATAACTTTCCGTCTGATCACTATACTATTGAATTCCTTATTCGTACAAAGTTCAGAAAAGCAAAACCTGTGCGGCGAACAGTCTATGATTGCAACCGAGCTAACTTTCCCGAACTTTGTAAAGCCTTGTCTCAAACAGATCTCCGTGTATCTTTTTCCGACAACATTGATGATTGTTGGAAACATTGGAAGGACTTATTTTTATCAGTTGTGTCAAGTTATGTTCCGACCAAAGTTGTTAAGAATACCAACTCTCCTCCCTGGATTGATGGAGAAGTTCGCCATCTAATCCGAAAAAAGTACACCGCCTTACGTAAATATCGCTTGAAGAAAACGCCTGAACGTAAAGTTAAACTCCGGACATTGTGTCAGCAAGTCAAGAATGTTATTCGAAAGAAACATAAAAAGTATTTGGACAAAATTGAAATTTCATTTAAAGAAAATCCGAAATTGTTTTGGAATTACCATAAAGCGGCACTCCACCACCGTTCAGCATTGAATCCTGTCATATTACACAACGATGAGACAGCGACGACCCCAAAACAAAAAGCAGAACTTTTTAATCCACCACTTCAGCGGTAAAACGCACGTGTAAATTCCAAAGGTGTCACGTGGTACAAAATGTAAACATTGCGGACATTCGCTCTGTTGTATAATAGGAGTTAATATGGCGGTCACTATCGTTCGTGATTTGAATTCCAAATTTATATTGTAATTATTGTATATTTCGGTGTTGTTATACTACAAATATAAAGAAAAATGTCTAAAGATTCTATATCAGATATTAACGGCGTTGTAGTTCCTAAAAATCAATTGCTTTGAAACGACGGCGGTCCATATAGTAATTTTAATGATTATAGTGATTTAACGTTGGCGACGAAGAGATGCGCTTGAGGTAGACATTTAAAAGCGATTTTCGCTACCCACATTGGATGGATAAGAATAAGAATGGCCATCCTATATATTTCTATCGCTTCCCAGCACCAAAGCGGTCGCGTTGGATAACAGTCTGTCATCAAGCGATAACTTTACTTGTTCTATAAAGGACAGCTATATTATTTTGCAGTTTGCAATAATTTTGTGGGCCACTTGGTGAAACGTCACAGAGTCCCTCCAAAGATAAAATTGTCCACAATGATGACTGTGAGTCTTCCACAAAAGAAAATGCTAAGATTGGTAAAGTGTGAGTATTTTTAAGTACCTTGTTGGTAAATTATGAAAGGTAGTCAAACAGACAAAATTCTATTTTAGACAAAATTCTGTTTGAAAAGTGGGGAGGGTGGTGGCTATCCCCCAGAATTTACACAACCCCTGTTTATAACAGTAACCAAAAATCAATCTCTGCTCATAGATATATAGCCATCAAAATCTTATAATTAAGTAATTTGTATCTGACAATGGACATAATAGGAATATAGCCTGTTTTATATTTGCATTCTTTTTTTTACTACTAGACTTTAATTTCTGCAAATATGTTGTATTATACACCAACAAAATGCTACAAAACCCAAAAATGTTTCGCCGAAATCTGTTTATGCGACTAGTGGAAAATAAGGATAAAGCTTATCATTATACAGGTAATATACTCAACTTGTGTTGAGAATTATGAAATTCAGGTTGAGTTTATCTGCACACAGGCTGGGATACAATAGAAAATTCAACTCAAGTTGGCATTTAAAAAATTTGGGTTGAGTCTGTACACTGGCTAATGGTACCTTGGCTTTCTTCGGTCATTACAAAACTTTAAAATATATTGATATGTATATGCTGAATTATTTCCCTATCCTCCTGAAAAAAAAATTGAAACTAGAGTGTCTGAAATGCCATTTCCTGCACTTTTAGAAGAATATTTACAGAGTTCTAATGGTAACAAAATGTCATAAAATATCTCACATTGTTTTGTCTAGATGCATAACTGAAATAATATCAATTAACTTTGTGGTCTATTATTGACCATTGTTAAAAAGTGGGGGGGGGGGCAAAGATATTTAAGCCCTCAACTAAAAAGTCGGGGCTCGCCCCTCCCACTGCTTCCGACGCCCCTAAATGTACTAAATATAAAATCCAGACAATCTTTGGACAATCCTGCACTGTGAGTGTATTATAAGCATATATATATATATATATATATATATATATATATATATATATATATATATATATATATATATATATATATATATATATATATATATATATATATGTCCACCTGACCACCTGATGATTCCTATACGGATGAAACAGACTGTTGTGGTTATTTGAGGTAAAACGAAAAACTATATTACGCTCTATCTATATGGTATTGAGCACTGTTTGTGTTTCGTAAACCAAAACCTTAAGCTATATATATATATATATATATATATATATATATATATATATATATATATATATATATATATATATATATTACCTGTATAATGATAAGTTTTATCCTTATTTTCCACTAGTCGCATAAACAGATTTGGGTGAACCATTTTTGGGTTTTGGTGTAATAAAATATCATTTGCATGCAGAAATTAAAGTCTAGTAATAAAAAAATGCAAATATAAAACAGGCTATATTCCTATAAATTCCATTGTCAGAGACAAAGTACTTAATTCTAAGATTTTGATGGCTATATATATGGGAAAAGATTGATTTTTGGTTACTGTTATAAAGATAGGTAGTGTAAATTCTGGGGACAGGGGGAGAGCCACCCCCTCCCCCACTTTTCAAACAGAATTTTGTCTAAAATAGAATTTTGTCTGTTTGACTACCTTTCATAATTTACCAACAAGGTACTTAAAAATACTCACACTTTACCAATCTTAGCCCTATATAAAACTACATTATGCAATGTGATGAGAAATATACTCTATTCTGCAACTTTAATAATATGGTAAATTTCAGATAATTACCCTTGTTGCATTTTCTTTTGTGGAAGATTCGCAGTCATCATTGTGGACAATATTATCTATGGTGGGACTCGGTGACGTTTCACCAAGTGGCCCACAAAATTATCAAACTGCAAATATAGCTTTCCTCTATAGAACAAGTAAAGTTATTGCCTCGATGACCGGCTGTTATCCAACGCGACCGCTTCTCTTGTGATCTTTTTGGTGCTGGGAAGCGATAGAAATATACAGGATGGCCATTCTTATTCTTATCCATCGAATGTGGGTAGCGAAAATAATCTTTACAGTAAATGTTCCCCAAGCGCATCTCTTCGTCGCAACCATATTAAATCACTATAATCATTAAAATTACTATATGCACCGCCGTCGTTTCAAAGCAATTGATTTTTAGGAACTACAACGCCGTTAATATCTGATATAGAATCTTTAGACATTTTTCTTTATATTTGTAGTATAACAACACCGAAATATACAATAATTACAATATAAATTTGCAATTCAAATCACAAACGATAGTGAGCGCCATATTAACTCCTATTACACAACAGAGCGAATGTCCGCAAGGTTTACATTTTGTACCACGTGACACCTTTGGAATTTACACGTGCGTTTTACCGCTGAAGTGGTGGATTCATACTTTTGCTCCGTTTTTCGACCACTTAAAGCTTTACCTATCACTGATGATTCACCTGTCTTACTGTCGCCTGTGGAACGATTGTCTGACATGACTGTCTCGGAAGAAGAAGTTGCCCATCATCTTGCACACTTGGATCCAACTAAGGCAACAGGCCCAGATGGTATTCCTGCTCGGGTATTGAGGGAATGCAGTTTGCCATTGCCCCAAGTCTTTGCTCACTCTTTAATCAGTCATTACATACTGGTACTGTTCCATCTGAATGGAAATCAGCTGATGTTTCACCAATTCATAAGAAAGATAAGAAAGAACTAGCTATCAACTACCGTCCAATTTCACTGCTATCTATCATCAGCAAAGTCTTGGAGCGATGCGTTTGTAATCGTTTCTACGAACATATCCGAGATTCGATTAACGAAGCTCAGCATGGATTTCTTCAAGGCCGTTCTTGTACTACACAGCTTCTTTCAACGTTACATCGTATTGGAAAATTGCTTGACAAAAATACCCAGACGGACATTCTATTTCTTGACTTCGCTAAAGCCTTCGACTCAGTGGATCATGCCATTCTCCTAAGAAAGCTGAAAGATTACGGTATCTCAGGAAACCTTTACAGATGGTTCTCTGACTACCTGCATAACCGTACCCAGCGAGTTGTTGTAGAGGGTGCTGCTTCGTCATGGTCCCCTGTCACTTCTGGCGTTCCACAGGGAAGCATCTTGGGTCCAATGCTTTTCTTACTCTTCATCAACGATCTTCCTGATGTCATTCCTGAATCTACATCAACAGGACTGTATGCTGATGATACCAAATTATATAGAGAAATCTCAACTCCAGAGGATTGTTCACAATTACAAGAAGCTTTATCGTGTGCGGATGTTTGGAGTAAGGATAACAACATCAACTTTAATCCCTCAAAATGTAAAATATTGACATTCTCCCGCCGTAAAACACCTTTTCTTTTCGAATATTATCTGGGATCATCCGAATTGAAGCGTGTGAATGATGAAGTTGATCTGGGAATCACAGTGACCAGTAACCTTTCATGGACAACCCATATCAACAAAATAAAAGTCAAGGCGAACAGGTTGATGGGTTTGCTTAGCAGAACATGCCCCTTGTTAACAGACCGCAGTATCCGGCGCACTCTGTATCTTTCGCTCGTCAAGTCGCAATTATGCTATGCCACAGAGGTTTGGTCTCCCTCCCAAAATAATAACAAATTATATCTGGAGCAAGTCCAAAGGCGTGCAACAAGATGGATCCTTCAATCGAAGAAAGGTGACATGACCTACAAGGATAGATTGCTGGCTCTGAATCTTTTACCACTGGTGTTTGACTTGGAAATTAAGGATCTGACATTTATGTTTAAAACTTTGCATATTTTGTATGATTTGGATGGTTTCAATTTTGTGTCATTTGTTAATCATAGTCGTACCCGTAATTGTAATAATCCTTCTCTAGTGCTTAAAGTTCCGTCATGTAAAAGTAGCACTTTTCAGACATCGTTCTTTAACCGTATTGTTCCACTCTGGAATCATACTTGCAAAATTGCTTCGCCTAGAGATCTTCGCAGTTTGGCAACGTTTAAATCCTTCTTATCAAGAACATACTTCAATTTATTAAGTAGTAGTTTTGATGTGGACATGTGCTGTACGTGGTCTTTATATCGTAGCTGTTCATGCCATAGAAATAGTTAATTCTGATGTAAATATATACCAGCTCCTCGTGTAAGGGTTTGTTTTATCCTGATTCAGTTTTCTAATTTTTAATATGATTATACAAATCTGTATTATGTGGTGCAATATCTTCCTAATTTGAATTAATTAATCAGCTGGTATATGTTTACCAATTTATAATTTTTTTGTAAATAATGATATTAGATGTAAACGAAATTCAAGAGGGAGAGTGGCTCGCATCGGGCTTGAGTCCCGTTCGCACTCTTGCCGTTTGAACATCGTTCAATAAAGCTGTTAAAACTAAACTAAAACTAAAGGCCGAAAAGTAAACTTCCTTCATGAAAACCGCCTTGAGAAGTGTCTAGTTTAAAAATTTAACTCTTACTATCCATTTCATGAGCATATTTTGGTTACATGTTAAATATTTTTGTACTTGATGAGATTCAAAATTTGTTGTATATTCATGGTCCGGCTCTAGTGTAATTTTGGTGATGACTGGAAAATAAATGAAGATCGATTTAAAAACTGGCCGTGGTCTCACGATAAAACTTTCCAAAAATGTTATCTGTTTCATGTATATTTATTTGATGTCTTAGGTACAAGCGTAAAAATAGGGGTTCATACAGTTTACGAGGTTATAAAGTGCATGACTTGCCTCTATTTTTATATAAACATTCGAAATGTTTCGACAGCAAAGTAGCAAAGAACTTATTAAAGTAGCAACTGTTTCAGATCGAATCACACACGGACAGCACACCAAGGACAATGGCAGGGTACTGAAATAGAACGTCACTAAAAAGTTCTGTATGATTAATTTAGATCATGTCCATTTCCAACATAAAACAGTCATTTATTTTGTACCAAACATTTGGCAATATTTACAGAATTGCGCCTTTTTGTAAACACGCGTTGTATGTATTCCACGCAATTGCGTGGCTCATTTTGATCGCGCATGCTCAGGTAAATCTCCCACCTGTTATCTGAAGCTTGAAGTGTGTCCCATAATAATTCCTGACTACCAACTCTCATCAACTCTCATCCTCGTTTGACCGCGGCTTTAATTTATAGCCTACCCGTACTTTCACGATTGTAAAATATTGTTACATGCAGCTTTGCTATACACAGCTATTTAACTAACCCGAAAAAGCGTTCAGAAAATATTGGAGGAATGGTCGCTCCCTCCCCCATCAACCCCCCAATATATTATGTTTTCCATTGTATAGGTGAATTATTATTTAAGAAAATTACAAACAAAGCTTTCTATTTACCTACCTGCAACAAGTTTGAACGAATTGTTAGTTAAAAGTGTCCAACGACTTAAACCACTATCTCCAAGTGTCCCGCGCAATATAACTTTGCCGTCCGGTAATACAACCAAAGGCGTACAATTTGGATAGGGCCCTTGACGAACAGTCGACACTTTTAGTGAGCCAAGATCGATTTGACAAACTTTCATATTTCGGCTGCACGTGTAAATTATGTTCCCATCGCATGCTATTTCGGCAAATGTGGTCAATGATGATGGTAAGGTGACCACCCACTTTCCATCATAGTTCTGCCACTTCCATATAACAACTCGCTTGTCGTCACATCCAATTATAACTAGCCTCGCGTCCGAACTGAAGCGAACTAATTCAGCTTTACTATCAAGCTCAATACCAGTAATCTCATTGCCATTAAGCAAGTCCCAAACCTTAAAAAAATTAAGAGGAAACATTTTGTACGTTAGGTAACACATGCTCAAAACTAAGTAAACAACTATAATTCAAAATTTGCATTTTTTATACGTTTTAATTGCTTAAAAGTATGTTTAGCGCATAATCAAAAATAAAATAATGCTAAAATAAAGAAATTTTAGCTGGTACGCCAAAGAGAAAACGCAGTTTGCAGTTCAGTAAGTTTGCTTATATTGGCGTAAATATAAATTCTCTCTATTGCTTACATTACTATTTTGTTTCTTAATTTAACTGGCCTATGTATTTTAAGCTAACTGTGTGCACTAGAAAATACTTAGATCTTTATTATGTTCGAAGGGAAAGTTCATGTGGCTATGCGTTTCCTCACCGAAAACAGCCAGGGCAGTCTTCTCAACATCACGGTTGATGTTTTGGATCAACTCAAAATGAAGCATCCAAGTCCTGCTGTAATTCTTAAGGAAAGCCTGTTATATGGTCCAAGAAACCAGTTACCTGAAATATACTTCTCCATCGACGAAAACACCGTTCTTAGAGCAGCTGTGAACACAAGAGGCAGCGCGGGAGGTTCATGCATTGATGCTGATCAGTTCAGACGCATTACATTATCAAACAACTTTTCCGAAGAAGAGAAACGTCTCAGAGAGGAAATATCTATATTTGCCCAAAAATTCACAACGACACCATTAAATTTTTCTATTCTGTAAGCCTACTTCGCCAAATTGTCTTATCGCTATTGATAAAAAGCCCGGGGTACGGCCAATTGGTGTTGGCGAAATTTTACGCCTAACTGCCTGGAAAGGCTCTTTCCTGGAATCTCAAACATGACATCCCAGACGTTTGTTGGCCGATTCAAGCATGTGGTGGACACAATGCTGGCTTTGAAGCTGCTATACACGCGATAGCAACCATCTTCAACGAAGATTCGACCGATGGCGTCATCAGGTTGACGCAACCAATGCTTTCAACTCAATGAATCTCGTTGTGGCTCTGCACAATGTACAGGTCCCATGTCCACCTATTCCTAAGTCCTCATTAACACCTATCGCAGTCCTTCTCGCCTCATCATCTTAGGCGGTGGTCAAATCCTTAGACAAGAAGCAACTACCCAAGGAGGCAACTTGGCAATGGCCTTTTACTCTATAACAACAACCTGATAATAAATACTTTGCGACTGCAAGCAGAAACGGTCAAACAAGTTTGGCTTGTTGATGATGCTGTGGGTGCCGGCGAATTGCATAGCCTTCTGGATTGTATTAATATCCGTATCAATAAAGGACGAAATATGAATATTACGTAAGTTCGGGAAAACCGTAGCTAATTCTAAAGAAAAAGGAGAAATTGAGCAAAACCCAAGACATGTTTAAAAATCTAAACTTAAATATAACAGTGGAGGGAAAAAGACACATTGGCGCAGCATTGGGTTCAGATGCACTTAAAGAAGCATAATCTGAAGAAAAAGTCTAAGCCTTCATAGTGCTTGTAACTTAACGTTTATGCAAAATTGCAAACCACAGCCTCATCCTGCATATGTTGCCTATTTACATGCACAAATTTACCTATTTCTTGAGAACAATCCCAAACACGTTAGCTCTGTTGCAGCCAATCGAAGATATCATAACGCATCAGTTTCATTCAACCCTATTCGGATCGGAAATTGCCACTGAAGCTCGCCGCCTCTTTTCCCTACCTACTCGTCTCAGGCATTGAGGTATTAGTAACCTGGAGCAAGATGCGGACTTTAGCTATTACACAAGTAAGTCCATCTTTGCCCCACTGGCATCTCTAATTGTCAGTCAACAACACACTCTGCCAGATGGTGAATATGAGGATCAACTTAAAAGAGTTTGTATAGCGCAAGGACTCAAAAGTCAAATCAATGATAATGTGATGCACTCAGGTGAATAAAATGCTTGTAATGTTACTCTGAATGTATATCCACACCGAGCAGGCTTGGAAAATATGCCTGGCGATGGTAGGAATCGAATATACGACCTTTGGAATACTAGCCCAATGCTCTGCCAACTGAGCTACGCGATCAAGTCGGTTCGAGTATGTAATATCCATTCCATTCTCGTACACAGAGGCCTTCTTACGCGCAGTAAACGGAGCGCGACGAGGGGCTCTGGAAAATCCATATGAAACAAGCATCTGATTGGCCACAACAAAGGTTACTGTTCTAATACCGGATATATTCTATTACCAGGTTTTTATGATGTCTGGTTATGAATTCTGTCAGAGCCCCTCGTCGCGCTCCTCGTCGTTGACCGCGCGTAAGAAGGGCTTTGGAGTAGATAACCCCCCTCCCCATATAGCACCGGAAGTAATTCAAGCGAATGACATCAACAGTGGGTGTACGTCCGAGCGTTCGTACTTAGCGTGCGTACCTAGCGCGCGTTCAAGCGTTCGTCCAAGCGTTCGTACTTAGCGTGCGTCCAGTTTATTAAGCATTACGTAATTGGTTAAATGGGCCCAAACCAATTGAATCCTTAGCATCCCAGATAGCTGTATAAATATCCATGATTTTAACCTGGTTAGAAAAGACCGCTCTGGTCAACGCTGGGGTGGATTTTGTGCATTCGTAAAATCAAATATCCCATTCGTGCCTCTTCCTGACTTATGTTGTCCAGATCACGAGAGTCTGTGGCTAAAACTTCGACCCTATCGACTTCCACGGGAATATTCCTGCATAGTTGTTGGTCTTGTATACCATCCACCACAGGCCGATAATAACGAACTGTATGACCACCTCATAACCTCGTTGGAGAAAATTTTAGCATCTTACCCAACAGCAGGTGTAATTGTTATGGGTGACTTTAACCAGTTCGACTCCAAACGCCTTTGCAGAAACACGTCACTTAAACAAATTGTAAAGAAACCTACCCATGGGAATGCAACTGTAGATTTAATATTTACTAATATGAAACGTTGTTACAATGACCCTGAAATACTCCCTGCTATTGGACAATCGGATCACATGTCAGTCCTGTTACACCCCGTTAGTAACAATCACCGCCCTAATACCATTTCCAAAGTCTGGGTTGGAAAGCGGAAGCAATCAAATATGCAGGCATTTGGTCGATTTGTTTTGGATCTTAACTGGAATGTACTTTCGCAGCTACCCGATTGTCAAAAAATGTGTGACCTGTTTTATGACATTATTCTCATGGGTTTGGATACAATTTTTCCCCAAAAATCTGTTAAACTTCACTGTAGAGACAAAGCGTGGATTACCCCTGAAATCAAACTCCTCATCTCCCAACGACAAAAGGCCTTTGCCTTGGGAAATACAATTGAATACAACAAATTGCGAAATAAAGTAATTCACGTCGTGAAACAGGCAAAGTCTAAGTACTTCGAGTCTCAAGTGAATCATCTAAAAAATTCAAAGCCAAGGAAATGGTGGAGTGCTATTAAAAACCTAGCTGGCTTTTCTTTAAAGCCTGCCTTCCATTCTGCAGAGGTGAATGGAACTATCCTGCAGGGACGAGACTTAGCACTCGCTGTTAATAACGGGTTTTTAGCCGCCACTAAATCGT